TGTAGGTGTGTGTCTCTTATTACGGGGTATACTTTGAGGTTTTGGATGCCACTACATCCAACCGGTCATCTCATATGTTGTTAATGTTGGAGGATGGGGAGAGATGGAGGAGACTGAGGGGAGAAGAGGGGTGAAGATAAACACTGATGTATGCTAATTGCCAAGTCAATTAGCATACAATCTTGTTGTAAGCCCAGTCACATGATAATGAGGTCTAATTAGGGTGGCCAGGGATGTCTGAAGAGGCAGGGAAAAAAATACTTCAGTTGTCAGTTCCTTGATGATGAACCTCAGGGGCCATATGCTTTTCAAATCTTGCATTCATTTTTTAAAAGATTATGTTCCTTTCAGACCTACTTTCCTGTCCAATCTATAAATATATTTCTTTCAAAAAAATATCCTCACTTATCAAGCATGTGTCACGGTTTGTTTTCTACTACTTCTCCTACCCACTGTCACCCTCTTCATCTAAATCCTTTATTCCCATATTGTTCATTTGCAATCTGTATGAGAACCAAGTAAATTATGGGGATGTGATGAATGAGCACGAAATTGTCAAAATGTTTAAGATTGCACACGGCAGTTGTGGGTTTGATTTTGGTTTAGCTTTGGTGTTTTTTCCTTCTTTTAATAGTAATTTAAGTTGATTTATTTCAGAACTTTGCACAAGCAATTAAAAATCTGTCTATTTCATGTCTTTACTGTTGCTAAATCTAACCACAAACCACTCAGATTAAGATCATCATTCTGACCAATTATTTTATTGATGGAGGTGTCCTTGGCTAAGAATAAAGGCTGTTCTTTTTATTAAACAAGACATCACTTAAAACCTTTACTTTCATCTCACAGTTTTAGGTCTAGAACTAAAATAGTATTTCAATCCTGTTTAGCTCTCAAAGACATTTAAAAGATGAGCACAGCTTCTGAAATCTCTGATTTGTATAATGCACTATTCAGATGCTATCAACTAGCAGCTGCATTAAGTGAGTTAATCTGATTGCCATTGATTGAGTATTCTCCCAGAGCTTTTCCACCCATAAGCTGTGGATTCTTTCAAAGACTAATTTAAAGGGGCTGACAGACATCCATCAATCTAATTCTTCTTTTTGTAGTCATGTGTTTACTAAGACCAAGCTATCACGAGCCAGTTATTGTCATTTCAATCGCTATAAATTTGATGAGTTTAAAAAATAGCTATAAGCTTTTTTTAACGTATTATTGATGTATGTAAGCTGCTAGATACCATGTATCATCAAGACCTACTTTCCAGCTGTTTACCTACCCACACATGCTTACAACCAATTTCTTATTTCAGACAAACGAGCTGAAGGGAACTGCTAGAGAAAAGTGCGAATCGTTGCAGTCATCAAAATGCAATAATACTCCTGATCATCATCCCCGTAATTAGAGGGCATCTGGTTGTCTCTGATAATTATAGGAGGTTATAATTGAACTGGACGGCTTTCTCCCCCATCCCTGCCAGTCCAGCATGGCGTGCATCTGCATGACTGCAGTGTTGCACATTTACCCTCTCATTCTGGCATTTCTGCTGTTGTGTGCGCGCAGCATCGCTGCAAGGAATGCACGCCACTTACTCTCCACAGTGAGCTTTGTGTCGGAGTGAGTTGCCCTCAGATGCACATGCATAACAAATGCCGTCAAGCCGAATATCATATTAGCATGTAAACAGAGGCAGCACTATTGGCAGGTTTGCGTGTGGGACAGTGATGTATGCGGTATGAGTGTGCGCAACCTTTCCATGTGCAGAAAACGGGATCGCAAAAGTGTCGGCAGGCTGCTTGGCACCGGGGGAAGCCGAGAAACAGCCGCCATGCAGCAGAACTAGCAGAAGCTGGATCCTCTCTAACAGTTACATAAGAAGCCCAACTAGAATAAAGGCATGGGGAAGGAAGCGATGGAGGAGGAAGGGTCACAAAGAGCCACAATGGAAGGGAAAGTGGCTGTGCTTGGGATTAGACAAGGGGGGGTGAAAATAAGGAGAAGACATGCATGTCTTTAAAGAAGGATGAGACTGGTGCTCTGGAGGAGCAGTGGTTTTAAGTACAGCGGAACAGAGTTTAAATATAGAAGAGACATAGCTGCATGGTGCTGGAGTGACAGAAGGAGAAACATGTCTAGAACGGTAGAAGGGAGCGGAGGATGAAGCGGTGGCAGCATCGCTGTGCTTTGCAGAGCAGAAGGCCAGTGGCTGTCTCTTCCTCTCTGTACACATGACTCATTAACATGAGGAAATGGAAAGGACTTAAATGTGTGATATGTGCTCCGTTGGCCATGCCCATGCATGATGCATTGGGATTTTGCACATGCATGTTTAGCCGTGCCAGCGTGTGTGGCCTTTCAGATCACCTATCTGCCAAGTCACACTCTAAATGCAGCCAGTACAGCCATCTGCGCGAGAGGGAGAGACAGAGTGAGAGGATGAGCGAGACAAAAAAGTCACTGGTGTGCAGGCCAGAAGCTCCAGTCTCTTGTTGTGAGCGCGCACTCGTCTGCACTGCACGGCTCTTCGGTCTCTGTCATCAGAATGTGACAAAAGGATGGGACAAAAATAAAAGATGGAGGAGGAGCGGGCTGTTCAGCTGGCTGAGAGTGAGCGAGCGAGCTGTTGTTTCCTCTGCCCTTTGTTTTATTGTTTTAATTTAGAGTTGGGGAGTAACCATGGTTATCTGGAACCAAAGAGAAAAAACTGTGTCAGGAGAAAGCATGTGACAGCCAAAGATTTTTTGTCCCGCTTGCTCAGGTGTGTACGTTAATGTCAGGTGTTTGAGCATAAAAATGATGACTCATCGCTCTGTGGAAGGACAGACTGATGTTAAAGTAGCCCAATGACCACCGCCAGCACGGAAGGACACAACAGGAGTCCAAAGCAGGAAAGAAAGGAGCAATGAATTGTGGTAATGAGGAGGCATGAAGGGGAATTTCGGAGGATGTAAATCTCAGAAGAATACTTGAAAGAGTTCTAAATGATGAATATGCACAACACACATGCATGTTTCCTATGCTGTTATGCCCTTTGGAGTCTCTGAGAAAGAAAAAGGCAGCTCACAAAGCTGTAAACAACTGAGGCATATTTTGAAAATGTACATGACGGCATACACATCAAAAGCTTTGAAATTAATAAATGGAATGCCTAGGACAACAGCATCTCTGTGAGCAAGAATCCAGCCCGCAAACTCAAACTGATAGCTGTCATGCTCAGAAGTAAGATTTCTTATGTTAGCCCAACCTACTTTTGCACAATTAAAAATGGTTTGGACTAAAGCAGACCAGTGCCAGAACACCGTGGACGTTTTTCTTTTTGCTGGATTAGTAGAATGTTACTTTAGCTTTTTACTTAGCCGTTCATTATGAAGTGACCGTGCGGTGTATAAATATTTTACTGCACCAAGCTGGAGCTGTAGTACGGCTGGGTGTTTTGAGAGAGACTCCCTTTTGGAACCATCTCAAAAGTGGCCATTGATCAAAAGTGCAACTGCAGTTTTCTTGCGCTTTGATATTCGTAAACACAGCTTAAAAGCAAGCTGCGACTATAAACCCCCATAAAGCACTGGGTTACTGTGTAATGAAGGTTTATGTGTCAGTTTATCTGCCTGAATGTTTTTTTAGGCTTTTGTAATGGTATAATTAAAAATACTTAGTCCAAGTTTATTTCCACTTCTTTGGTTATGTCCCTTTTTTTTTCCCCCCGGACAAATCAAAATGTCCAGAGCCTGTCTCCTTTCAGTCTGCCGCACTTAACTTGATAATCAATTCAATAAGCTCCATGCTGGAATGCCCGTGTGACCTAACCAGTGTTTATCTGATCCTGGTACTCTGTGCTGATGGCCGAACTATTCGGCACGCTCTGACTTACGAGAATGGAAAGTGATCATGAAGCTGGCGGTATCCAGTGTCCTGGATGTGGTATGCAAATATTGTGGTGTGGTCTATTTGTGGAAACTGTTGGATATTTAATGTTAATACTGTAGAGAGGCTGAAGCTCTCTGAAATAAACAGTGCAAGCGCAGAGAGGAAAGTGTCTGGAAGAGCGAAGTGCTTTGTTAAAGCCAATTGTTTAACACGCTCGTGTTGGAGAGAATGTCACAAAACATTTCCACCGCAAACCTGGCTGAGGGTGTGTTTGTGTGTTGTGCTGAGGTGCCTTAAAATACAGGCCATCCACTATAAATCACACAGCCGGACAGGAGAGATGACAGCTCAGGTCAGCCCGGCAAGGCTCCCACTGTGAAATAAAGAAATGTGTGTGTCCCAGTGAAAAGTGACTAACCCTGAGAGAAGAGAAAGATCCACAGAGTCATTTGTCCGAGTGCTTGAGGCATCGTGTTGTTGTGTGGAGGGTTTTATCCATACGGTCACACCATGCTAGATGCCACCAGATGCCCCGTAGTGAAACAAACTGCTTGTACGCAGACCTTCCTTTCTCTGTGTCTGGACTTTATCATAAGAATATGCATGATGCTGCAGTTTTCCTGTCAGCTCTCCAGGGCTCTGTTCACCGAACAAGACTGGAAAAAAAACATTCCCAAGGAAGCAAAGAAGCACTGGGCTGATGGTAGGGCTGACCTTTTACCGTGAATAAACTAAAAGCATCTCATCAGAGCGCTTCTGAGGCTGTGGGTTATTCTCTCTTCAGTGAGTGTGTTTTTACCTGCAGCTGCGAAAAGGCTTTAAAAACAGGCTGCTGTTGGTGAAACGGCATGTTTTTTTGGTCTGTGCCGTTAGAGATTCTTCAATCATTCACCCGGCGTAAACTGCTGTTCTTTGTTTCCTCTGTAAAACACGGCAGAGGCCAGCGGTCTATTTTGTTTCACAGATGGATGATTTCTGTGGGAATGACTGGCTGCTCAGTACTGTAGTCTTCCAAACATTTATCGTCAAAGTGACTCACTGTCTCTTTCTCCCTCGCTCTTTTCTCCCCTCTCCTGTCACCATTCTCCCTCTTGTCCTCCCATGCGTCCTCGCTTCCCCTCCTCTCAGAGATGGCGCTCCGACCCGCCCTCCTGCTGCTGCTCGCCGTTTCCCTTGGCGCCAGCGGCCAGATCCTGACTGACCCGGAGGCTCTCCCCAGAGGCTGCGGCTGGGGCCTCATGCAGCCCTACACGCTCCTCTGTGACCTGGACTCGATTTGGGGCGTGGCGGTGGAGTCGGTGGCGGCCGGCGGGGTGCTGGCCGCCCTCCTGCTGGCCCTGGTCCTGCTCTGCCGCTTGCGCCACATCAGCGAGGCGGACAAGCGCAGCGGCGTGGGCCCCGTCCTCCTGCTGCTGCTGGGCGTCGTGGGCCTGTTCGGCCTCAGCTTTGCCTACCTTATCGAGGAGGACGAGACTCTCTGCCTGGTGCGCCGGGCCCTGTGGGGCCTCCTCTTCGCCGTCTGCTTCTCCTGCCTGCTGGTCCAGGGCGTCCGCCTGCGCCGGCTGGGCCGGGAGCGGCGGAGCCCCGGCGGCTGCGCGCTGACCGGCCTGGCGCTGGGTCTGAGCGCCGTTCAGGGCATAATCGCCGCCGAGTGGCTACTCCTAACGGTGCTGAGGGAGGGGAGAGCCGCCTGTCAGTACCTGCCTTTGGACTTCTGTTTGGCCTGCAGCTACGTTCTGGCCCTGCTGCTCGCCGCGCTCACGGCCGCCTCGCTGGCGCTCTGCGGGAAGACGCACCAGTGGCGCTGCAATGCTATCTGGCTGCTGGTCACCTGCCTCCTGTCCCTGCTGCTGTGGGTGGCCTGGTTGGGCTTCTACCTGTTCGGCAATGCCTGGCTCGGCCGGTCCCCCGAGTGGAACGACCCGGCGCTGGCCATAGCGCTGGTGGCTCAGGGCTGGCTGCTGCTCATCTTCCACGCCGTCCCCGAATCCCACGTCTGCCTCAGGCCCCCGCCGCAACCCACCGCCCCGGACTACTTCGACACATCCCAGAACTCAACACGGATGAGGGAGACGAGCTTCGACGAGGACATCCCTCTCTCCCACAGGCAGTTCGTGGAGAACCAGGGCTACGGGTACAACGACGAGAACACTGCAGGTACGCCGCCATCCGGCAAGTTAGAGCAGACGGGCCAGATCGGGGCTGAAAAGCTTGTGGGAGGGATGTAGGCCAAAGTGAGTAATAGAACACAAGGATATAGCTACATGAGAGGCTAGAAATAAGCACTGGAGGAAATATCTGTTGTGTGGGAAGCGTTTTTTTTTTTTTGTTCCTCTTCTGGTGAGATCCAGGGAAGTGATGAGTAAAAATGAGTACTCTCTTTTCATCTCTGCGTTCATGCCATTCCAGGCCTGAGGAGCGGTGGTGGTGCCGGGCAACACAGCGGCAACACCGGCGCCAGGCCCAGCGCTCCATTCCGCAGCAACGTGTACCAGCCCACCGAGATGACCATGATCCTGAACGGGGGAGCGGTGAGTACATCCTCCCAGTCGCAGGTACACGCCGCTTACACGCCGCTCTCTCACTCGACCACGCCGACAAGACTGCATGCACATTTGTGCGTCCCTGGACCGTGTGTGTCACTGCACAGGAATGAGGGAGAGCTGTGAGTGTGTGCGCCATCCAGAAACTTGTGCCCGCATGCCCGTGTCTGTCGCATCTCTGTGTGAAAAATGCACATATGGGTACATGTGATGTGGTCACGGGTCTGAGGCTGATATGTGTGCCTGATCGTGGGGTAGCTTCTGCGGCCCCTTTATGTTCAACTAACCTGCAAACGACAACACCTCACACTCAGCAAATGCATCTTCTTGCTGGCACGGGTGAAACAGGTTCCAGCCATTGGGCTATGAATTTAACTCGCCATACTACAGCACGACAGCTCGCATATTACAGAAGGCTCAAAAGCTGAAGCGAGTCCACTGGCTGAGCATGATTCTTTGCCACTAACCCTGGTTTCTGCCCTGCAAAGAGAGATCAGAGACCTCTTAAGCTGCTTTGCATGATATAACAAAACTTTCCGTATGTAGTACTTTTGTAGATATGTGTGAGAGCCGAACAGTTGTGTAATATGCTTAGGATACTTACAGGGAGGTGCTGTGAATACGGCATTAAATATGATGAAGCAGACCTAAAAGATTGAAAAGCAATTTAAAAGGTAATAAAATAAAAAGGCCAAACGATAATTAATTAATTAATAACCATCAAAAGTGAGGAACTTGTACCAGTGTGAATGGGACACGAGCTGCTTAGCATGTGCATCAATATAAATGATCTGAAATATCAATTTTTAAGATGATTCTATCCTTTAAAAACCTGATTTTTTCCATCTGCAGGTTCCCTCGGCCCCTCCCACCTACACAGGGAGACAGCTTTGGTAACCAAGGACCTTGGAAAGAGGATGTGTGACGTAGGATGAAGAAAAGAAGATGGAGTGGGTGAGGAGGGAGGGGTCCAGGAGTAGGGGCCCGTTTGGTTGGACTGGACTTACAGCATGGATGCCTACAGGGCCCTTTCACTCTGTGTACAGACCTTAACACTGACTGTGTGCCAATCAAGTACTGTATGAGTGTGTGTGAGAATGAGAGACAGCAGGGTATAGAGGACAGAGCTAAAGCTTTTCTAGCATGCAATTCCTCAAAGAAGAGTTCCAAAACTTGAAATATGCTCTACAACTAAGAAAACACAGCCAGCCTTCTAAAATCTGAATATTTCAGGATAGTAGTCCCTTTTAAAATTGTTTTTTTGGGGGTTTGATTTTCTTTAACGCTACAGCATCATAGCCATCCTTGAAAACTGTGAAATCTTTTGCTTCTTCCTGCTCCAGCTCTCATCCTGTCAGGCAGGATGTCTTCTCTCCTCACTATGCTAGCGCTCAAGTGGAAACATTTGGCTCTGTCCTCCATCCATCCAAACTGTACGAGAAGACAGAGCACATGGGCGACGGCACAGCTCGAGCACCGCCCTTTTCAAAAACAATCCAACCACTATGGGGGTCCATGTACAGCAAATGAGAGGAAGGAGCATGTGTGTGTTCCCTGAAACTCTCTCTCCACTCCAACAAACCCCCTCCAGACTGTTAGCCCTGGCCTTTTTCCATCGTCTCCATTTCTGATCTGCGCCGTCTGTGAAAATAACACATAGCCCTCCTCACCTAGCGTCATTCTGCCACCTGCATGGACACTTTTTCAAACACAAACTGTGAAGCACCCACCGGCAAAGACACTATATAAGAGCAGCGCGCAGCACCTGAACAAAGGAGCCGCGTGCTGCTGATGAACTTTTGTTAAATATATGATGGAGCAGAATGAATTAGAGGGCGTCAGGCTTCTGTGGGGAGGTGCCGTTTCCGTGGATCTAGGTCAGACTGCTGTGCTTTCCCATTTCTCTGGTGGCCGCTGGCGCGCTGAAGCAGCCAGGAGAGACTGTCACTTTAAATCAGCGGGAAACGGAGCGAGGAAATGAAACAGTCTCCGCGCTCCTAGTTCCTCTATCTAGTTGTATGTGTGCGTATGTGAGCGCTGTGATTTCATCAGTGTCGGCGGGGAAAAATTCAAAGTCAACGTTGCTTTCGGGTGCTAAAATCTGCCTCCACACAACTCTTTAGTGAGGCACAGAACTACAGAAACAACACTTGTGCGGAAACGGTAGTCAAACTGTGAGTGACAGACTATATATAGAGCTGTGGCTGCTGCATGGAGATATTCAGGAGACTCAGACGGATCAGGTTTAAACCGCAAGGTAGAAAGAGGGGGATCAAATGTAAGAGGAGAAGGAGGTGCGGAGGAAGGAGATGGCAAGAAAAAGGTCCGAGGGGAGTCTGAGCGACAGCTGAATCCGTGATTTCCTTCAGTCAGTCCTCAGCCCGTTCCAGCAAATGGCTCCCTGTCCTGTTTGCATGTGACATGGGGGCGGCTGTCTCCTTCTGATCTGTGTGGTTGTCTTTATCTAGAGAAAATTATCTTCTTCTTCCTCCTCCTCTTCACCTTCCTCCCATCTCTATGCAGTCAGCCATAGCTCTGATCCCCGTGCCAAGAAGGACTCTTTCAACTGGAGTCCGTTTTTCCTTCATTGTGGCTTCAGCTCTCTCTTTTACCTGAGATGCTGTGTACATAGTAGTGCCGTAAAGCTTTGTTTGCTTGTTTATTTTTATCCTTATTTTAACTGTAGATTTTAGTCACCAGTCATGCACTGGACAACTGACCACAGCAAATAGATTTTTTTTTTAACTGGTTGCTTTGTGTTCATACTTTGCTTGTTGTTCCATATTCTTTTATTTTTCTCTTTCTGGTGTCTTTTGTTTCTTAAAATAGCATTTTGGGAATGTTTTGCCAACAATAGATATGCTTTCTTTGTTTGATTAACATTCATGCAAATATGTGAGTTGTCAAATTCAGGAGATTTTTGTTAGTTGTTTCCTCCTCAGTGAAAACAGGAGAGAAACAGACACACTTCAGTTCATTATTTTTTTCAATGACAATGGCTGTGAATAACTTTGGCACTTCATGCAGTAAACGGACGTATTCTGTGAAACATTGGGGGTATAACAAGCAGAGCAGAGAGGGTAGACTTCAATAAACTTAAATCCACCAACAGTCGGTTGGGTGATCTTTGATCCGACATCAGGCCATTACTAAGAAAAGACCAGGAGTCAAGCTGTGACTGTGGCTGTATGTGTGTGTCCTACACACTGGCTGTTCTAAAATAGGAGCATTACTTACAGGCCCGCTTCATGCCCAAACACAGCTTGTCCTGCTACGTCAAGCTGTGTTTGGGCCAACCCCGGTAAGGAACAGATCCTTGCAAAAAGGACTGTCCCCAGGGTTTTTGAATTGTCAGCAGTAAGCTTCAACACTCAGAGCTGAGAAGGGAGGTTTTTCTGATTCTTATGACGTTTTCACTCAATGTGACGTATGGGAAAAGTAAAAAAAAATAATAACATGATGTGACTTTGTAGATTTTGCACTTGTCAACTACCTATCTGTGCATGCTTATCACCATTTCTACATATAAGACCTTTCTCAGACGTACTTTTGAATACTACTATTTATGTAAAAGGTCATGTGACAGTAATAATATTTTCCGTGTTTATCAGATGACACACTAAATGTTTGTGCTTTCTTAAAGGCAAAAGAGAGCCGGTTCTTGTGAAGCAAAGAGATTCAGATCGGGGGAAATGGTCTAAACTAGTCTGATAACATCACATACTCTCCAGTGGACCCAACAGATTCCTCTGCTAGGTTTGAAGACTCAGTGGTTTAAAAAAAAAAAAAAGATGATGAATCTTCCGACTGATGTTGTCTCTGTGTTTAAAGTCAAGTAGACTGTGGTGAAATTTGCACAAAACTTCTATGTTGAATTTGTTGTCCCTGGGAAGCCCATCTGAACCCATCCTCTCTGGGCTCAATGTGTCCTTGCCTGTCCTCTCCTGATTTGTCTTGCCTTCAGACTGTTCATGCAGGGCAGCTGACAGGGGTAATATCGGTTTTCACAGCTATGACTGTGCGGTGACGCAGCATGCCTATATTTAAGAACTCAAGTCCCCTGATTAGAAGAAGAGAAAATAAAAATGAAAACAGTTAACTCTGTTGTTTCTGTAACCAATTCAGGAAAAAAGTTCAATAAAAGTGTCATGTTTGTAGTTAACTTTTAATCGGATCCTGTCTATTATTTGAGTCATACACAGTTAAATAGTGATATAAAATCCACATGGATGTTGATTTTCTTTTAGAATGTATTAATTATGATCTTTTTTCCTGCAGAAACATGAAAACGTGACAACAAAACCAACATGTGCTTGGAGTTTCAAACAGATTAAAAATAAATTTACTAACTTTAAATGAGTGTATTGTCAACTCAGAAAGACTGGGACATTAATTTTCCTCTCTAAATTCAGGATCTCTCAGTGTAAACACAGTTGCAATCCACACCTCCAACAGCGTGAAGCCTGAAACCAGCTGTTATCTGGCTATGCAGTGACAGCCTGGTGCCACCTCCTCTGCGGCTGTGTGATCCAGTTTCACTCAGGCCCGGTGTTGCCAGACTCTCTGGAGCTTGCTCAACTATCAGATGTCCCCAGAATGAAATGAGCCATTTTATCACCTTGCGCAGTGACAGCTGTCTACCGGGCATTCACATACCTGCGTAGGGAGATATACATGTTGATCCTCCTTGTGCCTGACATTTAGAGTCAGTGCACATCAGAGACAGAGTGGGTGAGGAAAGGCACCGCATTGCATCCTCTCAGGTGCGCTGGTTTTACAGGATGGAAATATGCCAGCGGTGCACTTTACTCACCAGGTTTAATTGACAAGCAGTGAGGACAGGACGGTGATAACCCGAACGATTTCAGAGTGGAACGAGACACGGCAAAGAAATTCAGTCAGTTTAAAAGCATGCAGGGTTTTAATTTTAACAAATCAAAATGTATGAACGCTCCATGGTTTCCCTGCAAAGTTTGAAATCACGTGGCAAAAGATAGCAGCTAGCCGAACGTGTCAGCCTCAGCAGCACAGAAAATCCAGTATGAGACCAATTTTCCTGGAGATCCAATCAAAGTCCCATGTCTACAGTGTCAACTTCAAAACTTTGAGATATCAGCCATATATCATTGTATCGGTAAGTCTGCAGATCTATTAGAAAGTTGTCAATCATTCACAAGTTACTTTGATGATGTCTTTTTTTTTTTTTTCTGTGGGGAAATTTCCTTTCCTAATAAACAGTACAGAAAATGCTGCTCTGAAAGCCACATAACTTCTCACTCTGGCCCTCATTTCTGGTTTCAATGGAAATCCAAAGACCTCTTTTGTAGAGTGATATGTATTGCTAAGAGAAAAAGACACAACGGATCAAGGACACCTTCCAGTGAGATATTAGCTCGAGCTGCTGAGAGAGAGTATTAAGTCTTTTACAGAAAGGTCCCCTCTGACAGCATTATGAGAATCCAGCTGTATAGTATTCATTTGTTGGGTAAGACTCATGAAGGGAAGTGATCCATCAAACTGGCAATGGGAGCAATGAAATGATTAGACACAGATCTTGGATCATAAATTCGTTTCTGGCCATAGCCAACTGGTTACAGGCGTTTTCAGTGGCATGTTTGACTGATTGTTTTAGGCTAGATTGACGTGAAGTTAACATGCTTTAATGGCTTTTAAAAAAGAAAAAAAAAAGCCCTTTCGGCTTAGCTCAAGTGCTGAGATAGAGTCAGCGATTTTTCAACAAGTTCTGATCCAGTCAGGAAATTACTCAGTGGTGCACAGGCTGTTTCCTCTGTGGTGCACATGCCATGGGGTCAACCACTCACCAGCCTCTGGGGTCATCTAGGAGGTTAGCGTGTGACCCCCGCTGTAGCCTGGGAGCTTTCTGGAGGATCTTTCAGTGAAACTAGCTGGAAATCAAGAAGAAAAGCACAATTCGGGTGTTACGTTTATGTGTATGAACCGTATACTGTGTCAGGTTTTACATTAGTTTACACCTGGTTTCTACATCATGTGTATAACAATTTTTCTGGCAAATTTCTGCCATAGTCTTTGTTCAGCAAATTCGTAAATAGTTTCTTAAACAATAGGGAGGCTGTGCCAGTGCACAGCCTCCCTATCCCTATTGATTTAAATGTCAGTGAAATGCTACATTTAATTCTAAATTTATAACTCTATCTATAATCTATAACCTTATTGAAACTACAAGCTGTTATCTGAAAAAATTTACATGCTGCAAGTTTCTTGGGGTTGTTCACATTATAATATAAATGCAGCCGCCTTGTATCGGACTCAAATGTGAAGTCTATGGTCCTGAAATGGCCCAGGAAGAAAACAAGACATCACACACTGTGTCTACAAAAGCATATAAGCCTATGAGTCCTGAAGGGTAACAACAACAACAAAAAGAGATCAGCTTTGGGTCGGTTGTGCAGGCAGTGAAATGCAAATTAAGATGGTTTAGCACTAAGAATTACTTTTTGGAAACAGAGCACCCATTTTCTTTCAGAACTGACAACCATATAAAGTCAAACAAGAGGCTTGTTAACTGCTGTGTTTAAACAGGCTTTAACTGACGTTAAATACGCAGCATGTCTGGCTACAGCCAACCTCAGTCATGTGGTGATTGATGAGCTGGAGACCTTCAGCTGTCCAGTAAGCTGTCACCTTTTGACTTTTTGACATATCGATGCGTGCTTATTCTTTGCCATATTGTTTTTTTTTTTTTTTGCTTCCATCTTTGGCTGAACCTGATTTCGGACTCTGAAATGGCAGGCGAGGCATTGTACGCTCGGGTCAGACGGGATAAGTGCAGCTGTTGCTGGAAGAACTTCAAGAGCTAGCAAACAGAAGGGGGAAGGAGGTCCCTAAATAATTTCTTCCTCTCTCTTCTTTTCTTCCTGCACCAAATATGGTTCATTTATCCATCAGCGCTCACTTCATTACCCAAAACAACAACAGGCAACACCAGCTGAGGCCGAAGCTTCTGCAATGCTATTACACCCCTCCCTTAATCATTTCTGCTTCCTTCCCATTGTTATCCATTTCAGATTTTGGAGGGGTCAGAAAATGATTCCCATTCAGGACAGCAGTCTGGGCAGGCTCTCGTTTAAACCCATACACTCTCTTACACATGCACACACAGCCCCAGGCCCCCTGGATTATGTCAGGTCAGCAGCAGCACCAGTGGAAGAATGTTCGCCGGCCGGCCGGCCACGGCTGCAGCCAGCGCCTTTGTTGTGAGGAATGTGTCAGTGTTGGAACAACCTGCTCTTCTGATGCTGCTGTTAGCAAAACAAACTATCAAGTGTCTTTATAATCGTGTCATTCCAAAGCACCATAGTGAAAATAAGTTTTTAGTTTTTCTGTTATATCAGCTATTTTTGTTTAAGTTCAAATATGCTTTGAGTTACAAATTATTGTGATTTGTAATATTGTGAATTGTGTTTACTTTACATTTCCAATGACATTTGACCTGAGCACAACATTGTAGGATTCTCAGGAAAGTTGAAAGAATTCTCCAAGAAGTATTGTGTCGGTAATGTATTTTTTTTATGAAGCTGCTGGATTTACTCTTTAGCAGATCACTCCCAACGTTTGCTGAGTTCAATGAATCAGTGGCACCTACTATGGCAGAAGCAAAGCCAAGCAAGCAGCCACAGACCTCTGATGGTATTGCGAGCCAACTGGATGCAAGCTAGCTGTGCTGGGCTAGCCCAGGGCTTATCAGACTGAACCCTTGACCAGGTCATGGGGCCAGACTATTGACCTAGGGACAAAGCTGGCTCCTGTTTGTTAGCTTCACATTCAAGAGTCGATTACAGTACAAGCTTGTTTTAATTAAATTCCCATTCTCCAAATAGTCAAGATTAGTTAGAACATGCAAGCTGCCGGACCATTGACGATGTAAGCAGTGCTCTGCAGAATGAGAGCAGAAATGGCACCGACAGCCGATTTTATGTTTCGTAAAACCCCCAAAATTATGTTAGGAATTCATTTAAAAGGTTAAAAACCTAATTTTTAAAGTAGATTAAGGACTTTAAAACTGACACCACAGTAGAATGGAATATCATGAATGAACAGTTGGTTGACCAGAAGTAAAAGAAACTCGTTCAGAGTCACTTTTACTTCATGAGCATTTCCCTGGACAAAGTCCCTATCCCTGAGCTCTAATACCTCTCAGCCACATTGGACACGGGTGTGCATTCTCAGCTGCTGTGCTCCAGCCTTCGTGTGCACACACACAGTACACACACACCATCTAATATTTCTGTCTTCATTTCTCTGCATCTTCCCTCTAAGTCGCTTCTTTCTTGAGATGTAGCCCCAGCCCCCATCCTCTGCCATCTCCATCACACAAGCACACCCTGAGCCCTGCAGACATCCTTTCTCTTTGTCATTTGCAATCTTCCCTTCGTGTCTTTATCTCTGCCACTGCCCTCATTCTCTGGGTGTGCCACTGCTGCTAGAATCCTCATCTCTAAGCTTTAACATCAAAGCAACGTAGGGATGAACACCACATCTCTGCAGCAGTTTAGGTGTGTGAGAAAGTACCGAGCACGGGCTAAAGCCGTGTTATATAAGCACGCATTTGCATAAACGTGAATAAGGTTGACACCTATGAATTATTTTGTGTTACTGTGAATGTTAACTCATTGGCCACAGTGGTATTGTGTTGGCAGTGAGTTAGAAGTCTCGTGTCTGTTGAAACTCTAAGCGTGGATGTGTGCGAGGAGCTCACCTCGGCTCTCTTGTCGCACCCAGAACCTCTCCACGGTTTTGGCGATGTCACGGTTTTCCCTCAGCTCCCTCTGCCATTGGCGCAGCTCCTGTACATCTGGCCGTGCCCTTATCTGAAACAACCACAGCACACGTGTAAAAGCAGCACATGGAAAAGTTCACATTGGCAAACATCATCAATAACTTAATTAGATTCTAGGCTAATCAGTACTAATAGGCCTGTAGGTCTATAAAATGGCGCCAGTTACATGCTCTGGTTAACAAACAGTGGGTGAACTGTGGTAGTGGCTAATTCAACGTGTTTGAAGACAAGACAACCATAAATCTGTGTTTTATCAGGTCACATCTGTTCAGTTCACAATACGGTCATTATGCAACCTTACCCAGTCAGTAAATATAATGTTTAAGGTTGATACATATCTATGTGCAATCAGATAAGATACCGCTAATAGTGTATCTTATCAGTTCTTGTATTTGCTGTATTTGTTCACTTCACCATATTTTTTACCATTTATCTTAGTCTTCAGTGTGTAACAGGCATGAATTTAAAAAAAATTGTTTAAAAAAGAAATCGAACAAACAGATTATTACGAACAATTTAGCCTGAGATTAAGAATTTCCCCTTAATTTAAATTTTAACTTTAATGTTACATCTTTAACAGCTCGCATCTACATGAGTATTATGTAAAAGCTTAATACAGTGATTTGGCCCTCTGTGTCATTTTATGAGTCACTGCTAAGACACATAACTGAGAGTGCCCGTACATCTGTGTCATGTAGCTAAACGAGACATTTTTCTTGTAGAGTCAAGCGGCCCATTTGTGAATAACATTTGTTAGATTCTTCAGCATACTGATGTTGAGTTGAGTCATGCTTTTGTTCTGGGAGGAAACCCCTGTTGTTGTTGTGCGTTTCTTGAAAGAATACCAAATAGGTTGGATGTTTGTGATGAGAAAAGAAAATTTCCTGAAGAGATCACTCTCCGATTCCTCTTCCGCTCACTTGGACTCTTTTCTCTACTTTTGCTATGTCATATGTTTTCTCTACCGCTACCCTCCTGCAGCAACCAGGTGTCTTATTTGAAAACCTCACTTTTTCCTGAGATTCTTAGACACGTCGATGTTTCAACCCAACCCTCTTCTTCCACCTTTATTCTCTGCTCCCTCTTTTCTCTTCTGGGTCCCCAGTCTTGCTTCCCTGCTCCATTCAACCCTAACATTCTCCCAAGTGCCTGGTTATGTGGCAACAATAGTGTTGCTATTAGTGAGCATGAAAGTGGGGCTGTTATATAAGGCTGGCCATGGGTTGACGAATGGGTAAGACCAGTGAGCTCCAATGGTTAATTCACTGGGTGTCATGGAGCAGCAACAGCCCCAATGCTGATGGGAGCAAACCATAGAAATGGAAATGAGGGGTGAGGGTCAGGACGGGTGGGGGGATGGAGTCTGTTGTGTTTGCTCAGCATCGCCTGTGCGCTCTATTTGTGTCCATGCACCATTCCTGTTCTCTGCCCGATTTTTATTGGTTTCCTCCAAAAATGTGGCATCTGTCATTCTGTCTCTGCTGCCATCAGCTGCTTCTAAACAACACGCATTTCTGTCAGCCATTTACCAACTGGATCATGCTGTCATATCCAAACAATATCAGACTGGAAGGCTGAGTTTTGATATTGAAGCTTTACACAGGATGCTGACAGCTTGTGTGTGACAGACAGAGACAAAGAGCAGAGTGGAATGTGTGTGCTTTTTTAAAGCCCGTCTGTGTGCATCAGCACAGCTGATTAGCTGGGGTAAGCTACTGTTTTGACCCTTTGCTTAAATACAAGCTGGGGACTTTGTGTTTTTATGCAGTCCCCAGGCATAACATTTGATCTTGCTCAATGACATCATGTGGACGTGTGTCATTAAGCTATCTATTTCTCATAGTTTGATAAATTGATGACCGTTTGCGAACACAGTACGTCTTTCTTGTCACCGCACACGTGGCAGTAGGGTTTAGTGCATGTGAGTCACTCTTCTTCCTCTCTACACAATGCATGTAGGCATGAATTAGAGTGATTAGAGAAATTGCCAAGATGGTGCAAAGCCACAGGCATCCGTAGGCATTATCTGAGAGGCAGAAAAACAACAATAGTACAAAGAATACCCCACAGAATAAAGCACTGCAAAGAGGGACGCCATCTCAAGTCCCTCCGACATCTTCTCAGTCACCAGCAGCCGCACAGGCTGAACCCCCACACAAACCACACACCCACAAATTGCATAACTTCATACACTCTTCCACACACACAGACTTCAGCCCCGTTGAACAGCTTTTGAAGCTGCTCTCCTTTCTGTGCAGAGCTGCATGAGAGACTGAGCTCCTCTTCCAGTATAACACCATGCAGCACACGGGCCTCTGTTTGGCTGCAGCTATCACCAAAACTGGCAAAGGGCAAAAAGGCGAAGCAGCATTCTGCTCAATCTTCTCTTCACACTCCGTAACTGACCCATCAGGTCAGTGTTGTCTCTGTTTGATCGATGTTTCAGCGAGCAGTGAGCTGACACCTTATTAGTGACAGCTGATGGTTGCACTGTGAACTTATGACACTTTTTTTATTTTTACAATCACTAAGAGCAGAGCAAAGTCTTGCAGTCTCTATATCATTTCAGAAAAAGCGGCCACTGACCTTCCTGAGTGCCTGTGACAATGCTTTCTGCATGAGAGTCACTGCATATGATCGGTCATCTGACTTAACACTGAACCTCAGTTCAAACCACTCATCCTTTGCTCCTCAGATCATTCAACTGGAACCTTAGACCTACTTGTGCCCCTGACTATACAGCTGAGTGGGTACGACTGTGTTGTGACCACAGGATTGTGTGTGTGAACAGCACCCCAATTCTTCACAGTAATTGGGCCTGTCAAGGCATCTCTTAAAGGGGCAAAATCATTTTTTCTAAATGACCAGATACATAAAAAAAAAGTGCAGCCAGTTTCACAGAGATGTGAAATGAAAACAACTAAAGCTTTGAAAGCTAATTTAAACCCAGTGTTCTAATTAGCCAGTTATTGCAGTTGCCTAACCTCACCCTAACCCTATTTCTGGTCATTTACATTGACAGCAAAGATCCTGAAATCTGTTTTCATGTTTTCATTGTACTTACGTAACAGTTTCATGATAATGACAAACCTAAAAGTTCTTGTTATTACACAAACAGCCACTCTACTCCAACTCAGCTGACCAGACTTGAGTAATCCTGATAAGTCTTAGTGATCAGCAGAATGTGCGTGTGAATGAGTGGATGCATGTATACATGTGTGCATGGATGAATGGATTAGAGTTGAACTAAGGCACATGGTGTAAAGGAGATTACGCAATATGTTTAGACCTTGCAGCTCTTCATACTTATACGTGAGTGAAAGAAGAGACAACTTCTTTGTCTGGGTCATAACTGTGAGTTGGTGGCTTAGTGCATTCTCTCCACCACTCCTCTTTTACAGCCCTCAGTTTTGTAATGAAAGAGATTAATAATGGAAGGATAAAAACTCCACTCTACAAAAATACCCTCCATCTCTGCTGCCTGGGCTTTGGTCTGTCTGTCTTTCTTAACTGAACACATTTACTCAAACACACATACACATACTCTGCAGTCAGGCAGTCACTGCTGCGTCAGGCCAGTTATATAACAGCAACAAGCACGGGGGGAAAGATAGGGTGCTTGTTGAGGGAATGGGGGTGAGGAGAACAGTGGTTTGGTCTTACACTGTAAAAAAAACTCTATGATCCTATCATAATCAAACAAACGCAAGGAATTATTCTTTAGTGCTTAAGTATATGTGAGGTAGTATTTCAGTACTACTTCTCATGACAAGACATTTTAATTCAGCTTGTTACTGATCACCAACATTTGAGATCGGTGAACAGTCATGTTGCCACTGAAGAATTATGTGAACAAATTTAAACTGGGAGACAGAAAATCAATGTTTAATCACACACTACTGGCAGCTAGATTCAAAGTTTGTAGACTCAGTTTGTCTCCTAGACTTTCTGCTTCATTGCTTTTAGTCATGTTAACTACTGTTTTTCTCCAGTCGAGCCAAAAGCAATCATGACACACAACAGCTCCTGCTATCCCAAAATATCCCCACCCTCTGTGTCTTAAATAAGTGATGATCCTCTGCGTCTTCAACTCGAGGCCTGCTGCAGTTTTCAGCAACAATGTACCCTTCATGCCTACAGCAAGTGCTGAAAAGGCCATATTTCCATCCATTTCTAATCTGACAATATGCTGCAATATCAGCTTGCCTCTTTCCTCCCTTTTGTCATCCATCTGAAAATTTTCTGGCTCCAGCTTTAGCCCCCCTCGTAATCCTCTGCTGTCTCCCCAGTGACTATATGTCTCTCTCTGACTGTGTCGTTCCTCTAGATCCCTCAGGGTGCTCATGCTATCAGTGGCCCCTCTGAACCCTTTCGTAGTTCAGCACAAACTGAGAAGTAACAGACAGCTGGCTCACTGCTGCCACCACATGTAGAGATGAAAATCATCATCGGTGTTGTCACAGGTAAACTAAGAGGTAGTGTTGCCCTCTGCTGGTGCACAGGTAGTCACAAACTGGCTGTAGGAGCACGGACATCTTTTTGTGCACACACCAACAAATTCAGCTCCATATTTGAGAAAATATCCTGAGCTTTTGCATGTAATATAACTGACTTGAGGGCGGGCATCTTTTTCATTTTTCAATGCTTTCCCCATCCAAAACAGAAGCAGAAACAGACAAAAAGGTGAAACAAGTGCTTTCGATGAGACCGGCAAAACATGACTGCTGCTTGTCCTTATACTACAGAATGTTTTGTTCATCTGTGTGTGAGTGGGGTAAAATTGCTGCTATTTGCCTGTGGCTGTGTCTGTGGATGACTATTTATATCAGTGAACCACAACGCCTGCACAGGAAGGAATTAAAGCCTGACATCACAGATGACATAATAGGGCTGATGAATGAAATTGCAGCCCCTGTGGAAGAGGGGCTTTTCAGCAACATGGGATTATACAACAAGATCACACTGGTCTAAATGCAAACACGAGAGTATCATACCCTTATGTGACCACGCACATAATAGGACTGTGGTCTATACAAATATTTTCTGTTTTATTCCCTTATGCCATCTTCTCTCAAGTCCTGCCTGTTACTCAGGTCACGTGTCAGGTTCTAGATTACCTTATATTTCAAGACTTTTTAAGACAAAAAACAAGCCTACAGCTGAATTCCCACTTATGCTGTTACACTGACACAGTGACTGTATAAAGGGTTGCACAGAAAGCCATAAACAACACTGTTTAGTATACCTTATATCCTCTCCAGAAAGCCTGGATGATCAGAGCAGCCTGTTCCTCACTCAAACGCAGAAACAGAGGGACAGGAGGCCTGGGGCTGGAGGATATGGACAAAAAATGAATAATTAGATGAGATAAAGGTGCTTACTACTGCCAAATGTAGCCCAGAACTAGGTGTGTGGATTTTCCAACTTCTATCGTGTTTTAGCTGTAGAGACGACACAGCAACAAGCAAACTGTCAACAGTTTACAACAGTTTACAATTTTGTTATTTTATTTGAAATAAAACATATAAAATGTTATTCAGTTAACTTGTTCTTTGCTTGCTATAATAAACAGCTTAAATAATAAAAGTCTCCAGATATTTTTCAACCCATCTGCATTAAAACATTTTCAATCTGTAAGTGTGACAGGTTGTTGAGTCACTCACTTCAAGGAAAGCCAGTCTTTCACGAAGGGAATGTCATGAAAGTTCACTGGGACCTGTCCCCGTCTGCAGGGATTATGACTGAGGAAAAAAGCTGGCATGATTATTCAAACACAATCAAGATGACATTTGAATGATGAGTATTAAAAATGAATGTTTGTGTGCATGTGTGTAAGAAGAGTCTTACTTGTAGAGCCACGCAGTAAGGAAGTCACAGGGGATAAATGCTGTTACTTTCCTCTGAAAAGAAAATGTGAAATTAAACGTCAACACCGAAAATAAGGGTTAAAACTTTCCAGTGATGTGACCATTACATGAATTACTGTTTTCTCCTGTTGATTAGATGACTATCAGAAAAAATTGAGACCTCAAAGCAAGCATGTTTTTGGGCTTCTCTTAACAAAGCCTCCAGCCCAGGCAGCAACACTGGAAACAGTTGCTCCTCCAATAAACTTGTGACAGGACCTAACAAACAGAGAAAAATAACTGTAGTCAACATGATGAATTGAAAGGTAGGAATGCTCTTCAATAAAGTCCATTCATCTTACTTTGAATGGTGTATGGAGATGACTCATGCTCAGCAGCTGGGGTGCTGATCTGGTGAAGAGAATAAGCCTTTCTTGTATTTCCTTGATAGCCAGTGAGAGCAGGGTCGCAAAGAAGAGGATCATCGTCACTCTAAGGATGGTAGTCCACAAAAACCCAATAAGGCCATTGTTTCTTCAAAGAGATGCTTTTGACAGGATCCAGAAATCAATCAATGTATTTCCTTACCTCGGCTGTGGTGAATCCACAGAATGACTGCAGACTGTCCACTGAGCCCCTGTCAGTCCCTACAACACTGGGAGGACTGGGCTGCTCAGCTTCAAACTCTTCAAGAATAATTTAAATTAAATTGGATCATTCGTGTCAATTGGAGCTGAAACGCACTTTAATCTTACCATCACAGACTTGTTTCCAAAGTGATTGTTTGGCTCCATTGCATTTGGCCATTATGGGGCCTGCGCGCTTTAGTGGTCGCCAAGGAGTCTCTGGTTGCCAAGGAAGTATTTGTCTCAACCTCCAGTATAAACAGGAAGTGATACAATTATCTCGTTTTTTTACATTTGCAACCGAAGTCCCTTTCATTTCCTGTTTTCTTTTTCTGTATTATAATTATTCAAGCAGATACAAATAAAGGTAGATAAGTGCATATACGTGAGTGAAACAACATGGTGTCATTCTACACTATTTATTTTTTTACCAACAGTTTCAGCTTCTCTGAACTTCACAGCCTTTTGTTACACACTTGACCGAGCCCTACAAAAGCTATGAGACATTTGTATTCCATTTCCGGCGAAACTAGACTAAAATAACAAATACACCAGATAAACCTTGCGCCGCTTTTAGAAGCTTTAGTCGCTGACATGCGTGCCCATTTCGTGCCCTGGCGCCGCCACTCGAGGGCAGCAGATAGCTAAATTAGAAACGTGAACGTTCACAGTTTAAAACCAATGCTAGGTCTTAGTTAATGCTAAACTGAAAATGACAAATCTTGGGTCCTGCCTGTTCCCTTTAGCTTGATTTTTCACCTCAGTCTGAATGTAACCAACAGCGTTTAGTGCAAATAGCTTATTTGTGTTTCTCCAATATATTTTAGCTTGACTGAAGTATTGTGCATGTCATTGGTTAAGGCTTTGAGTACAACTTTTGAGTACAACTAACTAAACAAAGGACTGTTTCACATTAATGTTTTTTTTTTCAAAATTATAGTCTTTATTGGAATATATTCCAAAGCAGTTGAGTCATCTCATGACTGAACAAAAATAGCCATTTATCTTAAAAAAAAGTCCCAAGATTCCAAAATGCACTGAACAGCTTTTAACAAAATATACATTGCAGTTAATCAGACTTCGCAGCCAATAATTGTCTTGTTAATAAATAAGACCTGTGAACAAAACCTTTTTTTTTTTACAAGTAATATTTTAGATTCACCCATGGTTGCAACCAAAATGTCTTACACCCATTTTATGAACAAATTATGAAGACCCGTGCCACAAATCTGTGTTTCAGTGCAGCAGTGCATCATCTGATAGTAACACACCCAAAACAAAACAAAAAGAAAGCAGAACATGATGAGTCAAAGCAGAAATAATAGTAAAACGATAATAATGACAGGATCGTTTCTTTTATAAAGCAACACTGACAAAAATAGGTATTATAAAGGACCAACTATCAACAATGAAATATACAGGTTACATTCCTTCAGGGTTTCAGAGTAGTGAGCCAATGTGATGAGGACGATTAACTGAGCTAAAAGGAGAGAAGCTACACACAGAAGCACACTGTTGAATACTAAAAAAGAAAAAAACCTTGAAACACTGTTTGGTGGTCTGAGATCCAGGCACGGGACTCAAATGTTCAGCAAGAACACATGGATCTTTTACACACATGTATGTAAAAGTGTGGAGCATTGATCGGAGGGAGCCACATGCTAGCATTATTCCAGAAGTCTAGCCATAATCAGACAATAGTGAGGAGCCTTCTCACGTTGAATTCACAGAAGGCTCATGTTAGTGGTTTTCTATTGTTGCTGTGCGATTGAAGGAAACTTCTATCAAGCCTCCACTGTATCAAACATTCAGAGTTTGTCCATAGGCAGCATGTTCAGTTCTTTTTAAAAAAAGAAAGCAAAGTCTTACTTATGGCCATAAAAAGCATGAGGTCAAGCCCAGAATGTAGAGAACTTAGCATGTCCATGATGAGAGCATAAAGAACTCTGCTGCTGCAAAGGGAGTGACATGCCTGAACAGCGGCTCAGGCAAAGGTCCTGTGGTATCGGATCTTTAAAACAAAAAACAAAACAAAAAAAAAGGTGGATTAAGTTTTTAAAGGAGCAAAAGGAAATCAGACAGATGTATGAGAAAATGATGGAGATGAGTTTGTAGCTATAATCCCCATTTCAAATGTCCACTCCCCTGTAGAAAAGAAAGTTGCAGAAAGGGGAGAATAGATTTGTCCGCTTGGAGGTGCCTGCTGACCTCATGAGCTGATTCAGTGCAATGAAAAGGGGACCGGGACTTTTAGCTTCTTCTGTGGTTCCATTTCTCTGGCATTCTTTGACGGTCCAGACACAAACTTCCAGTGAAACTTTCAATACCATCAAAACGCATGTTTACGGTTCAGTCTGGGCACATTGCTCTAACAGTCAGTCCACAACTTCTGTTTCTTCATGGCTTTCATGCAAAGACATCCACACGGCCGAGTCCCCTCCACTAAAAAGAAGCTGGTCACAGCTATGTACAGATAGGGTGTAATGTTTAATGGCGTGTCTGGACATGGTTGGTTCATTGGGGGCGTGGTTCTCCATGGACTCTGAAGCGGTATAGGCAGGTGTATTCTGGGTGACCCCAGTTTGACAGCACCCGCACCTCGATGATCTGGAAGGCCTTATCATTCTTCTCCTGAAAGATAAAACGGAAAATATTCAACAAATGCCAGCGGACACCAGCAGCTTTAACATGTATAAGAAGAGCCTCTACTGTTACCTGAACAGGAAAAACTTGCAGAGACTCCCCATCTTCCTCATATTTATATTGCCCCAGCAGCTTTCCTTCCTCTTGGTACTCATCATCTAGACCCTAAGCAAACAGCAGTAAAGGAAGCCGTTACACACCGGGTGTTGAATTTATTTTTCTTTATATTAAAAAGGGTTTCACGTTTTGATTTCTTACAAAGACTGTGAAGTTTTGAGGGGCGCTGGTGATGTTTCCAGTTGGGGACAGAGCTTTGGGGATGTGCTCCACACAGAAGGATGTGGGCAGGATTCTCAGGGAAAGCCTGATCACCAGATAACCTTGAGAACCTTTAAATGCCCAGCAGTTACCGGGATACACATCAGGCTGTTGGAAGAGAAGTGAAAAAGATTATTTTTGAAACAGAAGCAAAGATTCCAAGGCTCATGCTTTCTGTTCATTCACACTAACACTTGCTGGATGGTAGCTACATTACCCAGACAGTAAGTCTCGCTATAATTTTATGTTTTCCTCCCAAAATCCCTCCTCTGGGTACCCAATGATTGGTCTCACCTGGATAACAACGCGGGGAGACTGGGAGAAGTACCAGAGTGGCAGCCCGAACAGACTCATGAGGGCCGTCTTGGTCTCGTATGTTTCAGAGCAGCGGGTGCTGAGGATGCTGCCGCCTGAAGACACAGAAATATCGATTAAAAACAGAGAAAACTAAAATAATAACCCTTTATTAAATGTCACTACAGTTTATGAACAAAACTCACAGTTACCAACCCAGTCCATTTACAAGACACATCTGCTTCATCTGAAATATTTGCTTTTATATATGGGAAGCTTTTGCACTTTGGGTCTTTATACTATGCTTTCTTCTTCTTTGTTAAATTAAGTACACACATTAACCACAATTCATCTCACATGCTGAATATCTAATGCTGTCCTGAGCTATCTAATGTTTTTCTCTATGAAAAGGTAGCTGGTCTCACTTAAAACTAACTAAATAACCAAATACTACAGGAAATAATTTTTTTAATTTCATTTTTCTTAATCACAGGATAAAAGTGACAAAGGGAAACTAGTATTTTAGCACCTATCTAGGGACACTGATGATGATTTGACTATATCTACATCACATTACTGATTGAGGTCATTATATGATTAATCATGACCTTGTTTTGCAGTAATTAATCAGAACCATACATTTAATTGACAGTACATGACGATATGATCTGTAATTTCTGCTGTGTCATGTGTATTTTTTATTAACAAGATTTGACTGATAGTTACCGGGAGTCTTCTTAATAAAAGAGATAATGTACTCCTTGACATTATAACAACCAGAATGTTCCTGAAAGCAAGTATCATATATTGGCCAACAGGCAGCAGCAGCAAACTTAACAATGGTACCAGAGCTTTTTACAGTTAATACCTTGTTGTCCTTGACCTGCTAATAGCTTTGGCCGTATTGCGTAATATATACATTACAGAGTTATGGAACAGCTGACCTGCTAATCCGTTTAAACCACTGCAGGGTTAACTAGTGGCCTGCATGAAGGCTCAGGGTAGACAGGTTTCCTTCTCACCTCCAGACTCCAGGGCGTAGTCCACTTGGCCTGTTCGATCCTGGGAGTACAGCTTCAGAGCGTTCTGGACAATCAGCTTCACATGCTGGGTGGAAGAAAACAAAAGTTCAGCTCAGTCACAATATGACAAACCACCATGTTCTAGTTGCTTGTCTCAAATTCATTGGATGGGAAAATCCTGTAATGATGATGTTGGGAGTGAGAGGTAAATGCCCATTACCTCTTCTGTCAGTCCCTCGGTTGCGGACGTGCGCTGCACAGCCCCAGTTACAGTCTGAACGATGCTCCTTGTTTGGGACTCGGCCTCATCCAGAGTCTGGGTCCGGCTGCGCTCCAGCTGCAGCGATATGTCTTTCAGCATGCTCAGCTCCAGTGAGGCCAGTGCCGCCTGCAGGTCCGGTGTGCTCACATAGCGCTGGGACAACCACTGGATCAGAGATTCGGGCACCTCACCCTGCTGCTCCTCTGACCCACCACTACCGAAGAACAGAGCCTGCAGCTCTTTCCGCAACTGTGAGGACACCTGCACTGATATCTGAGAGGAACAGAGATATAATGGTTAAATCCATTGGTGTGAATACAGGCTTTTACATCTGTCAAAGAGCATCTATGTTACCAGACCAAGGAGTTACTTACCGTTTCCTGCAGCGTGTCCAGCTGCTCACACTTGCCCTTGCATCCAACAACCCCCTGCAGGTCCTGTCTGATTCTACTCAGCTCTGTCTCAAGTCTCTGCACCTCTGCTAACAAAGCGTCGTGGTCCTCCTGCTTCACACCCACACTGACAGAATGACAGAAACTACATGTGAGCTGCCACAATGCTGCTGAACCTCACTCCAAAACGCCGGCAGCATCTGTCCACGTGCACATCAGAAGGTTTGAGTGGTTATCTTCTGTACCTGACAGGTGCCTTGTCCTCTGATGATTGGATCTGTTCTTTCTCCCGTTCCTCCTTCTCATGCTCATACTGCTTCTGCTGCACAGTCTGTGGTAGAAAAAAAATTGATTTAATTTTCCTTCAATAAAACACTTTCTAAATCAATCATAGAGGTGAATGTAGTCACACTGATATTTGCATGTTTTCTCAGGAAATGAATCTGTGGCACACACCTCCGTCTTTGCTGCTAAAGCACTGAGCAGCAGCTCTAAATCAGCCAGCCGCGCTGCCTGACTGTCCTGTTGCAGCTTCTGCTCTTCTGTAATCTGGAAAATTAAGAGGAAATTGAATTTCTTCCCTCTTTTAAATCAGCAGTCAGGGACACGTCTTTTCCACATCAGTCTACCTGTGCTCTGCGTGTGTTGTCCTGCTCCAGCTCTCCTCGCAGCACGCCGAGTCGCTGCTCCAGCAGGGAGGACACCCACACCCCCAGACTCTCCCTGTCAGTCTGGCTGTGGAGCTGCTCCCTCAAGGTGCTGTAGAGACCCAAAATGTCCCCATGACGCTGGTCTTGCTTCTGGTCACCCTGCTGGACTCGTTCCCACAGCAGTGCTAGCTGCTGTTCGACATGTTCAAGACGCTCCAAATCCACAGTGGAGACTGCCACAGGGGGAAGGATTGGCTGAAAAGGGGGTGGGGATTTTATGAAAATATAAAGATAAAATGTCAAAATCCAAAACATAGCTGACTCAACCATCTATTTCACCTGGCATGTCTGAACTGCATTTTCATGTTATTTCAACGCTCCTTACCGTTTCCTGTGAGACTGTGATGGCTGGAGTTGGCTCCACTGGAGACTCTGTTGCAGGAACAGATGCTGGGAACGCCACCATGTTGGACAAAAAGGTGACGGCAGAAGCAGGACCCCACTCAGTTAGGTTTATGGCCGGCAGGTAGGCGAGCAGTGTAGAAGTGGACGGACCCCAAAACCATAAAGCTGCACACAAATGATCGAGCTTAGTCTAAATCAGATGCTGGTAGTTCAGTCACGACAAACAACACATTCAAGATTCACTGACAGACACGATAGCATAAACTCTGAGCAATGCCAGTCTGGTCTACCGCGAAGCCCTGCAGAGGTCGAGACTCTGGGGATGTGTGCTGCTTAAAACACTCTGCACCAACAGTGCTCCCTGCATTTAACAGGTTACATCTGCGACAGCAATTCTCACAAACTCACCAAGGAGGAGCAAAAAGGGCAACAGGAGCAACAGGAGCCTCCAGAGTTTGGGAAGACATCTGAAACACCAAAACATCTTGTCAGATAACTATGCAGCTGATATTTTTTCATTAGTCGTGTAGAATAGATGTGAGGGCTCTTACTTTGTGAGGAAGAAGACATTGAGGATAGACATGAGAGAAACCAAGTAGTACCATCCTTTAGCAAGAAACCAAAGCAGTCCATTGACTCCTTTCACTGGGCAAACAGGAGAAACATAAAGAACACATACAAAGAATGAACAAATCAGGCCAAAGGAAAACTGTCGAGGGCAAATATTTATAAAGACAAACCTGGAGCAGACACGAGCATCCAGAAGAATGAGAGCAGCCTCTGTGCTCCAACAAGGACCCCAGAACCCAACGCTTTGCCTGCTCTGACTACACAGTGACCTGGCTGCAGGAGGCAGTGACCTGGGACAGTGGGAGACAGATGCAATTACACTTCTTTTTTCCTTTTAAACTTACATCTTCACACTGTCTGAGTCACAAATGTTAAGACTAAAATCTAAAAGCAAAAGAAAATATTTTAATCAGTAGTAAGAGTCAGTCAGAGTGGTGGTTAACCTGCAAAAGCTAGGATGCTCCACAGAGCCCCCACCAGGCGCTGTGACCTGGAGGACTGTGTGCAGAGGACGGTGTGTGTCTCAGAGTACTGCTTCCCTTTACAGTCATCACCTGTGTATGCCAAAATGATGGAAAGCAGGCAAGCAGATTGCCAAACAAAAAGGATGAGTAAGTAACATTACATACATTACAATAATAAGAACATATGAAATTAATGCAGCAAATGATCTTGGCAAAGGGAGTTCAAATAAATATAAAACAACAAATTATTTGTGTTGGAAAAAAAACAAGTCACATTACATGCCATGCAAAGCCTGATGGGAGAAAAACCCTCCCTGATACTCTTTGTTCCTCACTATGTTGTTGCAGTTCTCTTTCTCTCCAGCTCATTTAAATGTTGCACTGCTCAGTTTGGATAACCAGCCTTCAGTATATAAAGTAGACTGCAATCCATCATTTCTGGAGAAAAACCTTTTTTTAACACGTGTAGTCTTTTCCTCCACTTAATTCACCTTGGTTTTAGTCAAATTTTATCTACATTTCTTTCCAATGAATGTATCCCTGAGAACCCACTTACCTCCTGTGTCAGTCGTTTCACTTCTGATTCAGAGTCTATGCCTATAAACTGAGTGCAAAGTAAAAAACTAAATCATAACCTGAGAAACTTTACATTTTCAAGCCCGATTCAGTGTTAATGAATTAAGGTTGGTTAGTTTTGGTGTTGAACTAAAAGCCTGGTTTAGGTTTGGGGGACAAACTAAGCCAAAAGAAGCATCTGCGGGTCAAGAAGCTGCTGACTAGTTAAAGCAGTTCACACAACCTCTGCCCTGATTCTGACTTAGGTCACACACGTACACAATGGCTGTCAATTCCCTGCTGCTCATTGGAAAGGAAGAAGAGCATCTGTGTGTTTTTTGTGTGTGTTTGTGCTTACAAAGAGAGCCATTAAGATTAAGATGTGAAGCTTCTTCATTCACCAGGTCCTTCACATTCATGCTTCCACAGAAACTTGTGTGAGCTGCAACACATAAAATAGATGTGTTTACGTAAAAAAAACATGACTCAGGACGCATGAATGATAAGAATATGAAAGTATGTGATTAGTGCGACAAAGTCCACATGCGCCGCCAGGAGGAATCTAAGCTTTCTAAAGAGCATGAGAATAGAGATGTATGAGAGCAGAAAAGGGAGCACAGAGCAGCATCTGGAGGCCCCACCAACAGAAAGATGTAGTGAAACCTCTGCATCTGAGAGCACAGACCTCAGCAGCTGTGAACAGGTCGCACAGGAAAATTGACCAATGGATATTAGACATATTGCTGGTGGAACTAACCATATTTCAACTACTGACTTCATGCTTAGAGCACAAAAATGGCAAAAAAGAGGTAATTTAAGTTAGGGTTAAAACAACTATTGTTATAACCTCATCACACAAAAGACCCAAATGAAAAGAATGGTAAGGTGGTTCAGAAAGTGAAAGCTGGGAGGATTCAGAAAAATGAAGAGATGGCGAGATTCCTCAGAGGCACACCCATATAGAAAAGAAAGTCTGCATCTTTATCCCAACAAAAAGTTTTTTTTCTTATTTGAATAAAAAGTAAGAGGTCAGGAAAGAGAGGAGATCCATTATTGGAACGGCAGCCACAGGTGTCAGCAGCTATGATCTTCAAGCTTTTCCCCAATAGGTACCTTGTCCTTCATAGTAATTAGCTCTGCTGCCCATCATCTTGTGAAGAGTAGTCTGCTTAAACAACCATAGTTTGGACAGGCTGGAGGATGCCGCTTGTCTCACTGAATCCAAAAACGATGCAAAAAGACCTGGTGACACATTGGTCCATAAATTCACTGTTAGTCCAAATGCAATCTTGTTTAATGGCTACAGGTAAAACGCTACAAAGATGTACTGGTGATAGCAGGATGAGGTCGGGAGGTTTGTGACAGAGAACCTCCCCAAACAAATCCTGAGACAGGAGGAATGTAGAGAATTGAATGCCAAAAAAGGAGTGAAGAAAGGTGTACAAAAGAAGTACAAAACAGGTTCTAATTATCTGCAGTAGGTTTCACTCTGAGTCACAATATCACAGGTTGAAAAGAGCCAACAAAGGCTGTTATTGTGTACCTTTTCCTGGTGGGCTCTTGGCCCTTGAACCCAACCAGACCACACTGCTGAAGAGAAGGGTGACTAAGGACACTACGGGGGCCAGGGCTTGTTTGCTGTAGTGCACACACGTGTTAGATACTGACATCAGGACACCTGGAAAGACACACCACTAACAATTACCCTCTTGTTAACACAACTCAAGTCAGACCCACCGTCGACCTTCCAGCTAAAAAATAAAACAAAATAAATCATTAAATTTGACACTCTAGGCCAATTGGACATTCTTACTTGTCCTGTTCCTCCGACTCCTGTCTCTAGTGTATATACTGGTGAAAGGCGAGGATGAGGAAGAGAGCGCATCAGTGGAAACCTCTGCAGCTTGAGATGATGACGACCGACTGATATAGGCGTCCGTGGTTGGAGAGTGTATAGAGCAGTCTTTGCAGATGTAGCCGTTAGCGAGCGAGGCGTGGGACTTGGCCGTGCTGGGATCTCCGTTAACACTTGAAGAACTGTGGCTGGAGCTCTGCCCTGAGGGGTGTTACATCAAATACGCTTGAATATTCTTTTATCAAAGAAAAGCCCACCTTTTTTTTGCATTTCAATGGCCCCAACATGAATGAATAAACTAAGGAATGGCAGAGGATAGTTTTTTACTGACCCCAGTGTCCACCCACAGCTGTAGTAGTGGTGGTGGTGGTGGTGACGACTGTGCGCTGTCTCAGGTGGGACTTTTCATGAGTGGAAGAAAGCTGAGACGCATTATATGCTGTGTCACTTTCTTGAATTTTGCTGCTGCTGTCAATCGGGGTGCTGACTGCTGAGAATGACAAAGTTTTCCTTGGTGTGTCGACTTGGCTCAGGGATAGAGACAGAGAACTGGAAGTGGACTGCTGCTTTCTGCTCCGTAGCGTCCTGGAACAACACAGATAGGAGACACGGTGCTAAGTTTCGGCTGTCGGCACAAGTCCAACAGAGATGTGAAAAAGATGTGATGGCTTCACTGACCGTGTCTCCCTTCTGCTGCTGGCGTAGCTGCTGCTGTGGTTCTGGGAGAGGTCGGCCAGGCCCTCGTTGCCATGCTGCCCGGTGGCACCCTGCAGACGCAGACTCCGGCGTGACATCCTGGGTGACTCGTACACAGGAGCGATCTGGTGCTCCTTCTCAAACTCTAATGCTGCAGTGGAGTAGCTGGAACTGATTCAAGAGGAAGAAAGGCAAAACGATTGGGAAAATTAGAATCAATTAAAAAACTTTTTTTTTTTAAAGACCTTGACAGAGGGAACTTTGTGACACTTAAGAGAGGGCAATTTGCTCACAACTACTGCATTAAAATCCATTCAGATATGAATATGTCTAATCAATACAGAAAGGGATATTGGTGCACTCTTTTCTGGTGTTGGTAGTTCTTTTTCAGGAAGTCAATTTCAGAGGATGAAAACAAACAGCTCTGTCAGCATGACAGTTGTTCTCCGTCATGGGCAGCATTCCCAACAGGAAATATGACTCATTCCAGAAAGAGAGAGAAAACATGACAAAAGAACAGGCAGAGATAGTCTCTGAAAGTAAAGTTATAGGAAGAGATAAAGTGAACAGCTCAAAGTAGACACGGCAAAGAAAAGACAAAGCCCTGCAGCCTGAACCCCAGTAAGTGGAAACACACCATGACTGTTCTCTGCCATGCTAACGTTACTGTGAGTCATGTGGCCAAACCCACTCGGTTGTGTAGGCATTCAAATTTGAGGCATTCAGGAATGACATGACAACAGGGAAAACTTCTCAGATTCATATGCTAATGTTGAAAAAAAAACTATTTCTTTTCAAATTCTTGATCCTTTGATTCTAAAGGATGTGGGCATGAAATGAGCCTGTCACCAGATAAGAGAACACACTTCCATTTACCCACTGGAAAAACGATGTTCCACGTTTTTACAACAGCGGCCGAGTTTAGTTTTGTGTGCTTTACGCACACAACTGTTGGCCTAACACACAGCTCAAACTGTAGCACACAAACTGCAGTATGTTCACACATTTGTGTGCTAAGAGTATCAGCATTGTGCATGCTGCTATCGAGTCGTCCCTCTAGCTGTAAACCTGAAGATAACAGACTCCCAGTGAGAGCCAATTATGTGCTTTCATCCTGGTCTGCCTCCGGAATACGAACCAACTGGCTCCTCTGATCAATTGTGAGGTCAGGGCTTTTATCCTGAAGGTGGGGGGTGTCTTGTCAAGGCAAGACATGTAGATAGTGGGGCAATCCTTCCGAGCAGAGTAATCACTTTGCCTGAACACCCACATCACTGTTTATCTTTCTTAAACCTTCCACACCCTTTGAATCTCAAATTTGTGGGATGGCCGATTTTGGCAAATATTTTCTTTTGATCTAGTCAGTCACTTAAGCAGTAAAACTACTAACATGCAAACCAACAGAGTCAATAGACACAGTAATTTAAAAGAACGCGGTGACTCAGGATTTTTCTTCGTAACGTCACCAACTTCCTGGGGTGAGAATGCAGCCTTGGAAGGCTTGGCAAGGTGTGTAAAAAGGAAACAAGCATGTCTGACTGTGTAGCCTGCAGCCACACACAAAGATTAGGGAAAAGTGTCTGCTCTACCTGCCAATTCACTGAGAAAACACACGTTTTCATTTCATCAACCCGTCAATCCTGTTTGGACTTAATTTAAGTTTGCTCTCTCCGTGAAGGTGAAGCCACCACCTCCTTTTAAAATATTAAGTGTTCAAAATCTAGCAAAATCTCAGCCTAAAATCTCTAATTAGCGCGCAGACTCTTCAGGAGGACGGGGATTTTTTCCCAGGTGGCTCCCCCAACCAGCCTTAGTACTTTAAATAGGAATCGACACAGTCCTCTAAGAGACAAGATGAAGACATGGATCAAAGATGGGTGCACAGTCCTGACGACAAGCTTCCCAGAATCTCTCCTTACATAATACTAAAACTTTGGCAATCTTTCAATAATCTGTGGGCACAGACAGATTTTATTTTTGCACTTTACTCATTTTTCGGTTCCAAGTAATTAGCAGTATTTATAATATACAGCAATCACCATGTAAAGTTGTTGCGTGTCTGCTTCCCTACAGGGACAGACCTGCCACACACACAAACACCTACAACCTACTTTGCATGGTGTATGCCAACATCATTTGGAATGGTTCAGGAGCGGTACAATTAACATCATGTCAGAAAGCCACACAGACCCACTCTGTTAGAAATTACCAAAACTCAAGAAAGCTCTCCCCAAATAAAGGTGTTTGGGGGGTTTTCCCCCAATTTGCAAAAAAAAAAAAGAAAAAAAGATGAACCCTACAGTTGATCTCTGGGTTCTTAGTTTATTGTATCGAGTTTACTTAGAAACACACTTGGCTCACAAACTCTGGCTACCATTCGAGAGACAAGAGCACACATATTTCCCTTTATAGGAACCATGTGGGTTGTAAATCTCAGAATCAAAACCACAAGTGGGTTCTAAAAGCTTTGCCAAAGGCCTTTAACCTCTAAAGCAAAAGTATAAAAAGGAACCTTATTCCAAATGGAACTGTGTGATGGTGCAATGCTTTCAGCAAAATTATTTGTTCATTAGCAGATGCAAACTGCATGTCATCCCTGAGAGGGGATAATCACATTTTAAAAGACTCATTTGTGCACAGTACAACTTAGCATATTTGAATAGTGAAGCACCGAGTCAATAATTAAATCTCATTAATTAGATCCATCTTATACCAGCACAGAACGCATAATGTGAGAATTTCAATAGCCCACACAAATCTTCCTGGTTGAATCTGTGCCAGCAGCCAGACATGTCAGAGGAGGGATGCTTAAGCATTGACACACGATGGGCCTATGCACTATCTGCTGGAGTGGTCAGTTGGCTCCAACACTGTAACATTATTCTGTGTTAAAAATACACCAGAGCACAAGCACCGACTTCCTTCCTGCTTCCCTATAGTGTTCCTGAATGGAGAAAATCTTCTCCCTGAGGTGCTGAGGCCTATATTTACCAGGGACCAGGAGCAGTGAATTGGGACAAAACAAAAAAACTCTTAAAAGTCCATCCAACCATCTCTGGGTGGGAAGGAATTGGCTCTGGGATCAGGCTCATTCCGACCAGACTCATTTTCTCTCCCGCAGTCCGGCTCTGTCTGTGGGGTCCCTCATTCGTCGTGCTAAAGCCCCACCGTGTGCCGTAACACGTAGTTGCAGTTGCTATGGGGAACGCATTAAACAGCCCCGTGGCAACAGAGGGAATGATCTGTGGTTGGACATGAGGCTGAATGTTTCACTTCCAAAGACACACGCTGTAAACTACAAGAAAACAGTAACATACCACAACATGGATTTCTCTTTGACACGCCAACTCAGACGTGTGTGTTGCTGAGAGTTTAACACCAAAGAAAAGCAGAGGAAGAGGCTATCTACGACCCAGATGCTGTCACTTGAGAGGTGGGTTCATGCACCGAAGCACGCTGAGCACATGTAAAAGACTGTGACAGCAGGGTGAACAACAGCTGTCCAGCTGCCACTCAGCCGAACTCTGCCACACAAAGGACTGCCAGATATAACTATTGTTATCTTTTGCTATCAATGATACAGCGATCAAATAATTTCAGTCAGAATGGGGCTAAAAAATATGAAATCCCTAGCCACCAGAAGCTCCAACCCCACTAACCTACTTCCTACATCATGAAATATGAAAGCTCTGCGAGTCAGTGCTGGGCACACACCCATTTTCCGTGCAACCAGGGTGTAGTCGACCTGTTTCTCTGGAGGTAGTGTCGCTGCATTTTTATCAAACCACAGTAATAGAAAAATGAAGGCTGGTAAGTGACAGTAAATGTGTTTAGTTCCGCTGCCGAAACACAGCAAATGTCCCAATGTGGAACAGCTAACAGATTTTTCTGTTCTTCTGCTATTCAAAACACTTCTGTGACATTACATTTTCAACAAGAGTGATATCGATCGAAAATATTTATAATATAGCCCTTTATCTACCAGAAAGACACAGTGAGGCAGACTAAAAGATCTGTCCAGACGGTTAAAGCTGAAAGCATAAATCTCTAAATTCCACTTATGTAAACCATGTAAGGTTACGCATTAACGAAAGAAAGCATTTCCTTTGCATGTTTAACATTTCAATGGAATGTTCACAAAGCTGGAAGTCCCTGTGACGGTGCCGTCTCTGTGGACAGACACAGAGCATGATGGGAGGGCTTCCTCTTCCTCTTAGGCCATTAAGTGGCACAAAACTTCTCGCTGGTCCTTTGAGTTCTGACAACAGATGGACCAACCGTTTCTGTCACCTGACTCTGTCCGTCTCTTTTTGTACTCACTGCACACACACACACACACACACTCTACGCAAACAAACAGCAAAGATCTGAACACATTCAGCTGCCACTTTTAACAAGTAGCAGCAAACGGCACAAAGCTGTCCTTTGAAATTTAAACTACGACCAGTAGCTGGATCTGCACTTGTTTCATATAGTTATAATTCAACAGCTTTGTTTCTCAGGAGAACTGTTAGTCTCTTAACTAGCTAGTCCATGAAGCATGAACTCTGAGCGTAATCCTGGGATCAGGGCTACGGTTGTAACAGCGAGGTTCATTTATAGATCCTCTGCTAACTGCATTCAAAGGAATACGATTAGCTTGTCTCAGCCTCTCAGACTACCTGGCAGATTCCAGTCAAGGTGTCTAACAAGCTTTTGTAGATTTGTCTTACTTCACCTCACCCCAGGGGCTGACTCATGAGGCTTTTTACAAATAAAAAAATGATAGCTTGCCACCAGCATCCTGGGAAGGTTGTTTGAAACCACGAGAACATGACTTTACTATTTAGCTTCTCCAGATTTCTACATGAAAATGGCCAGTTTCTACGGTGCGTTGACACAACAGAGTAGGAGACTGATAAAAAAAACTAGCTGCCGCCGCAGTTTTCCACCAACACAAGCTGCAGTCCTGCTTTTTTCTGCTGGGTGGGAAAGGCCACACAGGCCTGTAGATGTACACGTTTCTGCAGACATGGCAGTTAACGTAATGAGGTCTTTGTTGAGACTCGATCTTTTACGGGACACTTTCAGACCTTCCCTTAAGAGATGGGAAGCATCTGCTCCTAAAAGTCAAGCAATCACTCTTCCTCTCCAAATGTCAGAAAGTGAGCAGTGTAGTGAGAGGGATATTTCATCTCCTTGCCCACACACCCAAAGGCCTTTCTCTGCTCTGACAGCCCTGCAGAGATCAACATTCCTCTGCAGGCAGAAACCCTCCTGGTGAGGTTATGATCACACCTCCAGCGTAAATTGTGATGAAGGGTAACTCAAGAAAGAATGCAGAGAGGTTGGACTTAGAGAAACTGTGTGCAAAGTCTCAATAAATAAAAAAAATGCATACTTCTACTTTGTATAACCTAAGGAGAATATTTAAAAAATGTAAGATAATTTAAGATATGAGGAGAAAACTAGAAAAGTCCTGTTGAGATCTGTTTTCATGAGTTTTCCCAATTCCCCCACTGAATCGTGAGGCTGACTCATCACAACCACAACCACAAGGTATTTATAGAGGGAAAAAAATCCTAAAAGCTGAACACAACGAGGCAATTCCATTTTAAACTAAAGGGGGATCTTATTGTATGTTCATGAATTTAACAACTGAGAAAAAGGTTTGATAATCAAAACAGACGGCATTTGAAGAACACAATATGATGGATTCTGTATTTTATAGATCATGCATAATAATAATAATAATAACAATGTTTAAATTACAGTGTTAAAATATAAACAAACTGAAGAAGTTCTTAAATAATTTGTTATCGCATTATGACATATTTACACAAGCATTAGAATTGATCTCACTACAATTCTTAAGAAAAACTAGTGGACGTCACATTAGAAAAATATTTAAAGTTCATTCTGTGTGTTGCCTTGGGTGGTAAATGACATACAACATGCCGGTGAAATGGATGACCTGAATATCTGGCGCTGCAGCCAGCAGAACGCAGCGCAGCGCCAAGCCTCACCTGAGAGAGTAAGTATAGCCGGTGTTCTCTGGGGCACACTGTGGAGGCGTGTATGTGTGCAGCTGAGAAAAATCCATGGTCATTCTTCTTTGTTTAGACTGAAAGAATTAGGATGCAATGCATAGGACCCCTTTAGTTACAGGCCATATGTGAGGAGGAGTATAATAGAGACAAACCAGCATCTACCCACACACACTAACAAAAATACATGCACTGTGATGTTCAGTCTGCCTCCTGCAGGAAAACAAATGGGCTCAAGTTTAGCCAGGTTTGCTGCACTTTCACAACAGAACTGTCCTGTCACAATCTACACATATACATAGTAAAGCATTAACACATTTCCTGCTCTTCCCCAAGTCAACTGTTCCACTCTTGAGCAGCCTGCGCTCCAACAGCACACAGCAGCAGTCAGAGCTGTGCAGTACCACCCTGGCAGACGCTAATCAAAGCTGCTGCTGGACATTCCCCTTTTCTCTGCAACACAACAATGTTACTGTTGGTGAGAGTTGGCCGACCTCTTCCTCCATGTTGGCTCTTGTTGACGGAGACTTCGAAAACCAGAGAAGCTGCAATGAATGACCGGCCTCTCCTCCCGTGGTCAGAAATCAGGCTTCGGCTACAGTCGGGCCAGCGGGAATAGCGACCCTCTCTCTGTTTGTATGAAGCAGACTAACCGCCAGGACAGCCAGTCCTACAGTGGCTGCGTGAGTAAGCGCGGTATTATGAAACCCAGTGAAAAAGCAGAGGGGTGGGGCGGTTTCTGAAGCAATGGGCGGGAAGCAGCTGGCCTGAGAGTTGAGTTGGTGTGAAACCTGCTCTATGCATGAAGGCTAGGCAAATGCCGTGCTGCCATGGTCCACTCCCAGCTGCCATCTAAACCATCTGATGTGCCCAATTAAAGCTCATCTATTCAAATGTGTAAATCCTTTAATAAACCTTTTTTTTTTTTTTCAAATAGTATAGGAGGCTCTGATTAAACTTTCCGAGGATGTAGGTGTGGTCGTTTTGACACTGGTTTCTAACATAATACACACCCATTTCTAACACTCAGAATGAGCTAAAAGCTAATTAGAGCTAACGTGGCACAAACTGCAACCCTCAACAGCTCAATATGCAGTTGAATTCGTAATGAAGGAGGCTGTGTTTGCTATTCAAGCTGTATGTGCAGGCCTCTGGGTGTACAGTGGGAGTTCTCCAGGTGTGTGCACACACACTAAGGTATTATCCTTGCTCAGAACTACACAATGCTTCACTAATGATACCTGACAGATTAGGGCTGCCTGGCCACACTGAGCTTTTAAGGAGCTGCATACCAGTCTGAGTGTGACCAAAAACTTCAAAAAGGGAGACTCCTGCTCTAGACTTCTACTCAACTGCTCAAGCAGTTCAAACAGGGCAGGCCCAGAAATCCACTGCCAAAATCTCAATACATAATCTTAATCAAATCCTTAATCAAGACTCCAAGCCGAAAAGAAGGATAAAGGGAAACAAATACCTAAAAGCCAAGGGAACGACTTAAATTCAGCCGGGATTATTTTTGCCCCCACATGTCCACTGGTGCTGTGAATCACCCTGTAAAAGCTAAACTTGGCCCCTCCAGATTTTAGACCCCGGCCTCCTGCAAGTGCACAAACACGGCTACGACTCTGAGCCACCGAGAGGCAGGCTGAACATCAGCGGGCCGCCGAGGGCTCCCCGCCGGAGCGGGCGTGCGGTGCACCGGGAGCCCTCGGTGCGGCACTTTACCTCACGCCACCCGTCTGTTTTGCTGCCTCCTTTACGCAAACCACCTGCGACCAACAGCTGAGTGCTCCGAGCGGACCGCCGGCCGGCTCGACCGTTCCGGAGCGTCCCCGTTTGAATGAAAACAAAACATGTTTACCCTCGCTGTGACTCCGGACCGTCCATCCCAATGACGCCTAAGCCCCGCCACACTGTGCTGTGGCCCCGCAGCTAAAGATAGAGCTGGTGTATTTAGACACCCGTCACCCACGCTGACTTAAGGCTCGCGCACCGTCGCGCTATCCCGTCCCCTCTCCCTCCGGTCACGCTCATTTAAAGCGGCTCCGTATGGAATGTAATATATAAAATAAAATAAAAACATTGGTGAGAGCAAAAACAAAGACGGTGCACGTTTAATGACAGGGGATCTATTGGATGAGTAAACATCCTATTGGGAATTAAGGCCCGAGCTCGCACTCGCTGTCAAAACAGTGGTCGGTAAAGGAGCACAGCAAGGACGAGATAACTCTAAATAAAAAGCAAACACACACACAGACAGCTGGGCATTGCAGCTACTCTAAGGTGGTATTCACAGCAGAGTGTCAACTTGCCCGCGTGCTTCGAGTCCATGAGTGTTATTATTCCTTTAACAGCGTAATCCAAAAGGAAACAGTATCACCGCACCGCAATCACGCTAAAACACGCAAAGTTCGGCCGGCGGTACTGCGGACCACCCGGACCCCCCGGAGGTTCAGAGAGCCGACGGGCCCGCGGATCCGGCGGCTGTTTTCTCTGACAGAAAGACGGCAAAGTTTGCAAGTAGCTGCTCGCTGCTGCTGCGACTGCACAACAAGCAGATTTCCAAAATGGCTTCCCGGCCGTAACAAAGCCAGCGGGATCTCTCCCGAGCTGGTCCTCCCACTCTCCGGCCCTCCATTGTCGGTTAGGTTTAAATCTATTGGAGGAGAGCAGCGCTGCAAAGGCATCCACAGGTTTTTGGTGGACCTGGGGAGGGCTCCAGGTCAACTTGATCAACAATACATTTAAAAATAAATACAGAAAAAAAGAAGTTGTGGCATCTAAAAGAACAACGAATTATGAATTTACATAATCAGAATGACAATCAATGTACAGTCTATTCGATCTTTTTTTCTGAAACTACAATAACTAACACAAGTCTGCCACAAATACTCTTTACAACTAAGCCAGATGTTAGGAGCTGAGGGCTGTGTGATGTGTGGGTGTGTCTCTTTGAGGGATTCATCCAGATGAGCTGTCCCAGCTGTGCTGGAGCAGACCTCACAGCTGGGCCACCTTTTAAAAGGAGGAGGAAGCCCACCCCCTCACGCCAGAGTTACTGTGGTGTGTCTGCAAAAGGTTAAATGTGTGCGGAGATCTCACTTACTGGAGTGACAAGAAGGTGATCATTATCATTTTTGTATTGGTTTCATTACCCTATTTTATCTGGAGTGTGTTTGTGGGGTTTTTTTTTGCAGCATTTCCTATTCTGTTAAACTTTAAAATACTTTGCTACCCTGTAACAGTGCCTATGCTGTACCGCCATTGTTGTGCAGCCAAAAGGAATATTTTCCCTTTCTAAGCCTTTTGAAAGGACAGTTACAAAAATGCAATTCTGGAGTCTCAGGTATGTTTCACCCTGAAAAAATAAATCACAGTCTAACCTTAAAAAATCCGTAAAACATTTGTCCATAAGGATAAGCAAATATTGCAGTAGATAAGCTATACATCCAACCTTTAAACCTACTTTTTATTGTTCTTTACAGTCAAATAAAAATGACTGCTAATAGCCCCACGACTTCTTCATTTGACCTGCAAACACACAAAAACTATTCCAATAAATTGCGCCAATTGCTTCTTTTGTAAGGTGAACAGGTTCCCCACAATGATACTTCTGGTCAAGCTGGTTTAGATAGTTTAAAACAAAGTCCTAGGTCACACAGTTCAGTGACCCTGGATGAGGTCAGGCTGCACAATCCTGAGGCGGAATAGAAGGAGAGGAGAAAGGCACAGCTGACAAAAGCTCCAGCTACAATAATTAAATACAGTTCAGTGTTGTAGTTTTTATTAAAATCATGTCATAGAAGCATTCTGGCTCTTAGTGAATCCCCTTTTGGCAAAATGGATTAAGTGTACAGTATAGGAATAAACTGGAAAAATTAATCTGAATCATTCCCCCAACCAATGGGTGTTCTATTGTTCATGAGTTAAGCGCCATCTGCTGGTCACCGAAAGCCTTCTTCATAGACGGGCTTCGGAGTTGGAGAGCGTTATTCTGCCATGGGATAAACAGAAGGACTGTTCAGACCAGGGTGTAGGCAAATCCAGGCCCCGAGAGCCGCAGCCCTGCAGGCTTTAGAGGTTTTCCTGCTTCTACACACCTGATTCACATAAACAAAACGTCAGCAGTCCTGTTCAGAGCTGGGGCGCCTTTAGAGGGGATCAGTTTGATCTGAATCAGGTGTGTAGAAAAAGGGGAACCTGACCTCTGAAACCCGCAGGGCTGGGCAGGGAGTTCCCCACCCCTGGTTAAGACCCTGGCCTGCCACGGCGAAAACTGACCAATCTGCCTCATGATAGTCCCCAATTTTGGAGTAGCCACTGACCTAAACACCGTTTTGCACACACAAGAGCCAGATAGCACATCCACAATTTAACAGCGGAGCATGAAAAGTGTAGGGAGAAGGCTGTGTACTGGAGGGAAATGTATCTTTCCAGTATCACCTTAAAATTACAAGTATTTAAATAAAAACTCCGTGTAGCACACACGTAGTTAACACGTCCATACAGCATGCCGAATCATCCAATAATTCAATAGAGAGTATTATGTCTACTTCGGACTTTGTAGTTAGCTCAAGCCTCTCGTGACAGCTCAGGGTGACACCCATGCATTAAATGTACAAAATTAGCAATATAGAAGCTAAACTACTCACATATTGACTGTGTCTGCTGGAGGCTGAGTATGTGAACCGATAGGGAAGCAAGGCTTTGTTTAACGGACACGAACAACGAACAACCCTCTGTTGAGAACGTTCGCTTTTCCCGCACACATGATCATACTTTCCGTTGTAAGACGTACGTCACAGCAGCAATCCTTATTTGGTAATAATGCCCATATATGGAATCGACGCAAGCTCCGTTGAAGTTACTCCATTTCCTGCAATGTGATCCTGATTTAAAACAGCGCCGCCCCGTGGCGAGTATGAAAAACACAAAATAGTTAGTTGAAAGAAACAAATAAAAAATAAATTAAATATTAGCTCTAAAACGAATGGTTCTTCATAAGCTTTACTTGATTTCATTTATATTATCTGCTCAAACTGAACACGATATGTGTCTAAAGATGTCTTCAAGATTTTTAGTAAATCTCTTTTTCTCAAGAAGATCTCTTTGTGTTCGTATTTTCCCTGATGGGAAACATTTAGAAAAATCATAGATCAGTAAAATAATTTCTGCTTTTGCAGACAGCAGCAATTATAGCAGCAACTTGTATTTTTTAACTAATCTCATAATGTTTGATGTTACTTACGGGTTTGAACCTTACAATGCTTCAAAAGCTCTGTTCATCTACAGACAACCATTCAAACATTATCCATGTTTCAACAGACAGACAAAACCTGAAAAACCGGACATTTCAGATTTTAAATGTTTATGGTGTAATGCTATTGTCCCAGAAACCACATGACCAAATGTGTTAATAGGAAGATGACTGTGCCTGTGTAGAGTTCCTCTCTGTCTTTGTGTTGATCTCTCATGGAGTGCATGTTTGGTTGACAATCAAAAACCATGAAAATTGCTATTTTTGCCACATGTATGTTCTACCTTCATCTTGTGGCCCCTCAAGACACAGATCGCTGTAAGTAGACTAAACTCTTAAGTAAAATGGGTTCCTTAAATACAATAGAATCTGTAATACGTTTGTGCCTTTTGGATTGTTGCTCTAGCCTGTTTTCTTTTTTCAGATTCTTACTGTGACAGCTGTCTAACAGCAGCTAGAGGTATGTTGGAATATAATGTCAAAGTGTAAGATGTTGGTCTTATGATTTTAATTTCCTTAAAGTACAGACAGTTGTTAACTGTGCGTGCATTTTGTCTTACAGAGATTGAAAAAGCCATAAAGGAAGCCCCAGCTGTGAGAAGACAGACAGTGGCAGAGAAGCTTCTTGGTGGGCAACTATGTGACAAACTTCCACTTTCTAATCACCACCACAAAGAAAAAATGAAATCCTCTTGCAAGCACCTGCTTGGTAAGACCAGGACAAAATATAAATGAATTTGCATGGTCAGGTTTTTCAAAAACTTACTCACAAATCATCCATTCAGATACTTATCGAGAGCATTTTCTCGCTGCTTTGGCGAATAAAGAGCCAGAGAATCTGTACATAACGCTGTGTTATGAGCAGTCTCATGCGTGTGTTGGGGTCAGACGTCAGACTTTTGAGGTAAGTTTTGGAGCAGCCTCTACAAGACACAGAAATACTGGTTTTCTGATTTAAATAGACTAATCCCACCCTGTCTTCTCACAGGATTCCAAAGCTACTTTCAAAGATGCTGATATTGATGCCATGCTGCGGGACAATAAAGAAAACGTGCGTATGGCTCAGCCTATACATGCAGGATCATCTCCACACAAAGGTGATGAGCTGTGAAACTGGAACATCCTTTTGCTCTCTGAGGTGCACCGTGTATTATTGGGTTCTTGTTTGTCATTGTAATAAACAAAACAATGAAATATAATATTCTGTCTAGGGTTGAATTTATGACCTTTTTTTAAATGGGCAGAGTATAAAATCTGATTATTTTATCTTTGGGAGGACATCATTGGTCCCATTATAAACAGTTTATGATGATCAGAGTGAGGCCTTGTAAAGTTGTAAGAGTAGGAACAAAAAATATGAACAGAACGCCAAAACCTTGTGTGACTAACAGGATGAGCTCAGCCTAAAAACGAAAAGCATTTTTATCGAGCTCCTCCATCAATTTTCATTTTGAATCTTACAACTAATCTGTATCATTACTAATTATTTTTATGTTGGACCCTGTGGTATATTGTTACGGGGGATTATTCTTGCATAAAATTGTACATCTGTGTACAAAACTATCATTATAGCTTCCAAAAGCAGATGTATATATCCACGAGGTGATGAATGTGATGCAGACTGGGGGCTGCGGTCGTCTTTGTGTCCAGATGTTTTTATCTCCGTTGGTTTACGCTTCAAATCTCAACGGGAATGAATCGAATTATGCTGATGAGGGAATCCTCCAAATAGGGAACGCGAACAGGTCGCGTGCACGGTACTGGAACGTGCCCTGGCCGCGCGCTGCTGTTACTAGGAGGCGCTGTTGGAGCCCGGAAGAGCTGCGAGTAGAGATGGTGATGATGGTCAAACCGAGGTTGAGGGGAGCAACGCTCCATTCGTTGCCAGAGCCACCACTTTATGCTTCTTTGTGACTTTATTCTGCGTCCGTCTCTCTGCGTGAGGACCAAGGAAAGAAGGCAGGAGCTGTCTTTCCTTCTCCGTTGTGCAGGTATGAAAACGCTCATTTTGTCCGTCGCGCGCATCTGGATTAAAGCGAATTTCTCGCTGTTAGAAACGATTGAAATTAATTATCTCAAATGTTCATGTTTATATGTAAAATATAAGAAGCAGAGAGCGTTTCAGACATGTAGACAATGATAAAATCACGCTCCCCTCTGCTGTGGCCACACTATTTGAATGGATGAGCGTGGGGATGGCCGGCCAGGTGTGGGGCTAAAGCACCAGAAGGACCCTCGTTTAAATCTAGACAATGGATAAAGATGTGACAGCTCACAACCCAAAGGCGTTTTCAGTATTCCCATTTCAGTCATAAGACAGCTGCTCCTGTATGATAACGCCCTGTCCATGACCTGCCTGAGAGGGTCGGTATAATCAGATGTTGACAGACATTTTAGAAATAAAAACTGCCATTGATTAGACACACCATTCAATCCGTGTTTCTCATGAGACACGAAACGGAAAAGAGTCACCAGCTTAGTCTAATAGAAAGGAATGGCAAGAATGTGATGAGTGTGATAAAACAGAGACACAGACCCTCTTTTGTTGGAGGTGATGTGTCCTGTTTTTCCACTTACAGTACCAGTCCAGCTGCTGTCCTTCGGTCTCAAGGACCAAAGGACCAGGAGGACCAAACCTCACATGTCTGCAAAGTCGTGATCTAATTCCGCATTCTCCGTTTAATTTTAGCCGCTGGGTGAGGAAGCCTACATGGTGTGTGTTTCCTGCCCAGAGGGTGGATGTGAGGGTGTCCAGACATGGAAGGCTACCAGGAGTTTTGTGTACGGACGTTGGCTTTACTGCAAGAGGAAGGGAAATTCAGAGAGAAGACACGTGAGCCGCTGTGTTCTCTGAGGGCTCGCTCTGTTATCTGCTTCCATGGTAGAGCCGTGCTTTCCCCGCTGGTAAGAAAGAAGCATACCAGTGTGAGAGTGGTTGTGTTGTGCCTATTTTCTGCATGGGAGCAAAAAGCACATCAAACACTGAAGGCATTAAAAACTAAAACATACTCAGACTTCATTGTAAGACCTGAAAAGTCTAACACATCTGAATCTGCTCACATGACCTAAACGCCTTCCATCACTGATGTTGAGGTTACTCTTATTAGGAAAGTGTGCGGGTAATGGTAGAATAACATTCCTCTCTTGGGAGCAAGGGTCCTGACCTGTGAGCTTGCGTGAGAAAAGTCTATTAAATCAGCAGTTGGCAGGGAACAGAGAGACAACGCCGCTGACGATGAGCAGAGTCAGGGCTGTTTGAAAAACCCATTCGCTCATGACTGCTGACAAAATGAGTTTCACAAGAAGAGCCCCATGACTAGAGGGCCACCGTGAGGCTGCCCTTGATTCAAATTAAGATACTTTAAAAAGAATAAATGTGTAGGGTTAGCTTCTTTCTGTAAAGCAACAGAAACTTACCGATAACTCTTTTGTGTTGAAAAGAAAATGAAAAAGTCCATAGGAACCTGAAATATCAGATGATATTCGCATTGCTAAAGAAATATTTTCTCTTCCAGCTGAGCGCAGAGCAGCGGACAGAGATGTGTGGCCACAGACTGAAGGCCACTCAGATGGAGCTTAGCAGACAGAGTCATCAGAGGAACAAGCTTTTGGTCCGAGTGCAGGGCATACTGGATCAGGCCCAGGTCAGCAGCGCCGTGTGGTCAGAGTGTTCCACTGGAAAAAAAAACAAATGAGATGTTTGAGAACATGGCATTGTTTAGGTTTACTTTATGTTTTACTCTACTCAAAAGGAGCATCGAGACACGTTTTGTCACGATTTCCAAAATGTACAAAAATCTGTTTTCTCATTCCTGAAAAATAGCTCTGTGTCAGTTCCACAATACAACACAAAAATTGAATCACAGTCTGCCCCACAGTCTCTTGTGCCGTTTGGAGATTTGACTACAGGTTGTTTGATTGAACTTTTCCTCCAGTGGGCTGTGCTATTTTTACATTGTCAATGCCATTTTTATTCAACTCAGCATCTAAAAAAAGTGACCGACTTGGCGCTGGTCTATTCCTCTGTTGGAACAGGGCACACAGTTCAGTGAGAAGTATTTTTCTAGAATAGAATCAGCAATGTTTTCAATGCTGCACACTGTGCCAAGATGTGGCCAAAAAATACAATTTCCTGTATGTCAAACAGTGTTGTCTATATATTTTTTTAGCAGTAATTGTGGAAATGGGAACAAATGTCTTTTCCTCTTTTCCATTGTAATGTAGTTTTTGTTGCTTTGACCCTGCACACTCAGTTGATGGCTTAAAGTAAAAAAAAATAGACATGTTTCTAAAGTATACGCTATACATTTTAATGTATGTCAGTTAGGGAATAATAGGCATTGTCTACATTGTGCCTCCCTGTTTTTACAAACTCATCAATACTTCTTATCTTCCACAGACGCACAAAGTCTCATGTAAAGAAGATGACAAGCCATCAGTTTGTAAATCTGCAACAGGCTACACCCTGGTCACTGACTCTCCTGGGCTGTCCACAAGTTCCGGGTTTGGTTTTGAGACGAATGGACGTGCAAATCCATGCTCTGAGACCCCCATCCTCAACGGTTACAAGGCAGAGAGGGAAGCAACTGAGGAGGAAGAGGATGAGGATGAAGACATCAGTTTGGACAGCCTTCTTAAGAGGTCCAGGGAGTATGTGAAGAGAGAACAGAGTCAACATTCAGCTAAAGTTGTCCGCAGCGTGAGCCAGACCCCCTCACCTGAGGCGGTCAAAGAGAAGAAGAGCTGCAGTCCTGCGAGGGACACAGGTGTTGAGTTTGGATTCAGTCTGCACCACAGCCCCATTGGCCCACCTCCCATCCAGCATCAAGCTTTCTGTGACCCCAGTCCTCAGAGGTCTGTCTGCGCCTCACCTGCCAAAGCGGACCGGTTTGCTTGTCTTCCCAGTCCGGAGCCCAGCAGTAGTCCTCGCCCTCACAGACGCAAGCCACGGCCGGTTTCCACAGGGAACATTCATTTTTCGTTTCCCATTGGCCCAGCAGACCTTATCCCTAGAAGCCCAGGCAGGTCAGCGGAAAGTGCCGGCAAGGCAGACTGGGGGGAAGCTGTGTCAGTGGGTCTAAAGTCCAGCAGTCAGGTGGGCTCAGAGGGATGGGACCCCCCTATCAGGAATGGCAGCCGTCCAAACACCAGTCCGGCACAGGAGCACCAAAACCCCGCGGGGGCTTCGCTTCCCGGCTCGGTGGTGCAGCGTGATCACATGACTGCGGGATATCGTCGGCGCTGCCACACATTGGACAGCCACCTGAGTCCCCAGCAGTCCGCCGCTGAGCCCGCAGACCGCAGCCAGGAGAGGCTGCCGCGCTTCATGGCAGGCGTAACGTGGCTGGCTCAAGGTCGGCGGACCCCCGCAGCCCCCTTAAACCGGTCATACGAGGTAGAGAACCCCTCGGCGTCTCTGCTGAGGCCCTGCATTCCCCCTAACTCTCTCACATTGGGGATGGAGAGCGATGATTCCCTGGGGCAAAGCGAGGGCAGGAAAATGCCAGCGGTCAGTCCAGCTCAAGCGCTGGTCAACCAGACTGGTGAGTCTGTGCGGATATGTTTCGTCTGTTTTGCGACGCTGTATCTCACCATTGCAGTCTCTGCAACGCACGTGTTAAAGTACTTATATGCATCAACACTGATTTACGTCATCAGAGGAGGCCCAGTGGCGAGCGCAGGCATTGGAGGACATGAAGAGGCGCCTAGAGGAGGAGCATGCCCTGCAAATGTCTCGACTCCTTGCTGAGCAGGAGAAGGAGCAACAGCGCCTCTGTCTGGTGAGCATCTAGAAACACAAAGCATATATTTTACATGTGCTTTTTCCTCTTTATATTCCCCCCCACAAACCTTTATAAGAGGCTGCAGCCCAACCTACTGATAGTACTGTCACTGTGGTCTCTCCTTGCAGGGCTTTCCCTCGTTATTAGTCTTCAACTCCAGAGCAAAAGAAATTCTGAATTATAAAATGATGTATCTTTGTGCATTGAATACATGATTGTTGAAAAATAATATGCTATGTATTTGTGTTTAGGAGCTTGAAGAGGCAGAGAGAATACTGAAAGAGCAGGGAGGTGTGCGACCTCTCAGTGGGGACACTAGGGGTTTGAACTGTAGACCAGTGAGTGGCTGCTGTCCTATCATGAGCCCCTCCTGCCCAGGACAAAGTCCCATCCACACACCATCTGAGCGGTCACCTGGACACAGTATAGGTTCACTAGGTACATGGAACTTACTGCTGAGCTGAATGTTTAAATCAGTATTATGCAGATGTAGATGACTAACAGTACATTTAGAAATCGTAGTGGAGTGATTTTTTAAATGTTATTGGAGCTCACTACTTATATTCACTATATTTGAATTCTCTGTTCGATAAGCCATTCATATGAACACACACATTGTTGAAGTAATACTAGATATTTAACAGCTGTGCTTTCCATTCAGTTTGACCAGCATTTAACATGCCAAACAATAACATAATCATAATCATAATCAGGGGAGGACAGCACAGCTTTCAAGATAGTCTGTTAATGACCTAATATGACATCCATTTTACAGGTATTTTTTATAATGATCATGGTGGAGATACTGCTTCTTTTTTATAATTTTTTTTACTTTAGACAAGATAATTAGATAAAAAATTTTTTGCATTCCTAAATACTGTAATTGCATGCAGCATCTCCAATAGCATAATAGATAAAACTAATAAAAAAATAGTATAACTATAAAACATGTTGTAGAGGAACTGCCTACTTACTTTTTAAATGGTTTTCTTTCAGGTTTTCCCAGTTGTGGACCTTCTAATGTGTCCTCTCCCACCGTCCAGACTCCCGTTTATCTTTGGGGTTCCACGTGGCCAGCTAACAAACCTCGGGGAAGACTTAGTCTGGTGGGTATAGCTATGTCTTCTCTATAGACTGTATACTTAGGCTTTCCACATCTTCATTGTCTAATGAAACACATCAACCTGCTACAGAGAGACTGTAAAACTGATTTAATGATTATTCTCTTTATTTTCTTGTTTTAATGTTTCCGTCTAATGCAATTTCTGTGTGCGTTTTGCAGGTTCTGACTGCTGAGCAGCAGAAGTCGTTCTGTCGAATTGGTGCCCTCGTTCGCGGCTTCCTCGTACGCCAACTGCTCAAAACAGAGAAATTGAAACACCTACGCCAAACTATTGTGGTGAGATTTCATTTAAATTAGGACATAGTTAAGAGGGTTTGCATTTTGAATGAATCAATAAGCTATGTAGCTGTTGGAAATGAATATTCTTCTATAGTGTACATGTGTGTTACAGGACACACAGGAGTTCATCCGCTCTTTTCATTCTGAAGCTGGAAAGAAGCGAAGTAGCTGCTCAGCTCAAGATCTCTCCCTGCAGGAGCGCGTCAGAGCCCAGGTATGACTGTGTGATGTCTGACTGTAGACAGCAGAGGTCCTCCTTTACTGCATTTACGTTTGCTCTTTGTTTCCACAGCTGCGTGCAGCCCTTTATGATATCCACGATATCTTCTTTGAAATGCCTTTGGGGGATCGCCTAGCGCTGCTGCAGCAGGACAGGGAACTGCGAGCAGAGAGGAAGCTGCGAGACCTGGTATAGTCCAAATCCATGCACCCACTGGCTGTTATGAACCTTTGTAGTGTGATGCATTTCCGCCAGCCTAGATACATTTCTGTTACATATCAAGAGGCTACGACTGTAATCTACCTGAGTGCAGTTTCTGTTACACCTTCTATTACACCTTCATGACCAAGGAACACAGTTTGCTGTGCCTCCTGATGTGCCTCTATCATAAATTGAATTGTCTCTGGCAGGAAAAAGCAAAGTGCCCCAAAGAGCGAGTGGTTCTCTCTGCTGCCACACAGAGATCTCTGGACAGGAAAAAGAGGTAAAACAGGAAAGAAGAACCCAACATCAATCAGCAACATTAGCAGATATGGTTTCAGTTTGATGGTCTTCTGGGTTTCTGTGTGTTTGGTTCCGTCTCAGGGTCAGTGAATCCCCAGCGCAGGTCAGCAAGATGCAGCACAAGCCAAAGAGCCCCACCACTAACAGGTCTCAGTTTTGATTTTCAAGTAGTTTTACAAGTTCTCTTTATTTCCATATTCAAGTGTAATTTTTTTTATCGTCCTCAGCTGTTTTTCACATGTTTTTCTCTGCTTTATGAAGGGTTCAGAAGCCACATCAAGGCCAGAGTTCCTCTGCTCAAAGTCAGCTGAACCGTCAGGGGTGAGTTTGTACAGATAAACTATCAAAAAAGTCATTCATAAAATAATGAATGATTGATGTTGGCTGTTTTTGTTTTTAGGAGCTGGTACAGAAAGACTCCAGAGGTGAAAGCAAAGCGCTCCGACAGCCTGAAGAAGCAGCACTCTCTGGGTTAACACATGACCCAAAATCACCTGTGAACTTGATCTCCTTCTTCGTGTTTTATCAAAAACATTTTACCACTGAAACCCTGGAGGGCGCTGCTAACCTTTTGACTGTTTCAGTCTTCTGTCTGAAGTTCAGATGATTGTATTCAGTGGCACACCTTTTACCTGCCGATACTCTGTCACATTGTCACTGTTTTAACTGCCACCACCTGCTGAAAAAATTTGGTGATAAAAGCTGAATGTTTGTCACAAGATGATCTGAATCCATTAATTACAGCTGCACTTAAGTTCACGCCAGAGAAAGGTCTGACCTAAATGGATGATGGTTGATTCTGTGCCTGGGAACTTTGCCTTTGCTGGGATATTTTAGCATGCTAATATTTATCAGCTGCATTCATATTATAAAGTGCTTTTAGTGGTAGGTAGCTACACAATGAAGAAGTGATAAAGTACAGTATTGGGCTGTGTAAAGTTCACTCAGATATGATTTTGTTCAAGGGCTCTGAGTGCCTTTGTGTGCTAGCTGAGGTTGTGGTGCTTGGATTACAACACTTGTGTTTCACCATTATGCTTTATCTATGGCTAGTGTTAAAAAAGATATGTAAACAAAGTATACACCACAGTGCTGTCACACATAATTAGATACATAGCAGGTAAGTAGCATCAGTTGTAATTTGTAAAGTATATATATATATCTTAATAGGATGATGGTTTTCGAAAAATATTTGGATCGTATAATACAAGGATGATAGAAAGTGCTTTCAAAGAGCTAATTTTTGCTGTATTTTGTGTGATCTTTAAATTGATCTTCGAATGAATCTATTTCATTGATTGCTTATTTGTTGACTTTCAGTGACTACATTGTCTGCTGTTCTGCAATATGCATCTGCTCTCATCTGTTCAGCAGAACTCCCAAACTGCATATGCTTTATATTTTGCATCTGCTTTGTAAGCAGAAAAACACTTACATAAGAAACTCATCAAAATGAAAATGTTTCACCTAGTTTGTATCATGCTTAATGTTTTTTTTATTTCTATTTATTTCTATTTATTTCTCGCAAAACCACAGTACATGTATCTCATTATCTAATAGGCAACCTTGACAACCAGTCAGCATTGTAACAGACAGCAGATGCAACAAGTCAGCACATGTCTGCTTATCTGGGAGTTCACAGTACTGAAGGCCTGCTCACATATACTAAACAGAATCCTCAAAATCCTCTTTTGCAAAACAAATGTACATCTTGATAAACAATTTGCAAGAAAAGACAGCCAAAACACAGAGACAAGACGAGCATCTGAAGTTAACACATTCGTTAAGCAAATGTCCATGCAAAGATGTTTGAATGAAAGGGTAATGTTTTGTGCAAAGTTTTGGGATTTGTGCCAGAATACATGCACTCCGAGGCTTAACTCGTAATTGTACGAGTTAAGCCTCGTACAATTACACATGTTCATACACATTTTGCCTTGTCAATAAACATTAATGAGGACTTTGTTGTTGAGTTCACAGAAAAGTGAGTTGTAAGAAGGTTTGTGCTTGAGCACTAAAATAACTGAACTGACTTAAATCTTTTAATAGTGACTCAAACTTATACATGATGTTTTTAGTCTTTCATCTGTTTCTAAATCCTGGATCCATTTTCTTAATGATTGTTGTAATGATAGATCTTATATGGTTAGACAAGACAACCAGTGCTCTACCATGTTTTACATATAGCTGATTTTCTTATCGTCATGGACAAGTCACAAACTGATTTCCTTGACTTTTCATACGCTTTTATGTATTCAACTGACAGAGCACCGCCACTTAAACTGTAATGTTTAAAAGGGATGTATATTTACCTTAGGATAATATACATATAATGATTTGAACATCTATTTTTAGTATTTAGTATTCACTAAGTATTAGTGAAAATCGCAATTTGAATCACTGGAACATACATGGTATTACAGCTGGTTACATGAAAACACATAACTAAAAGCTCCTGTACTTCAATGTTTAAATGGTCTTTTTAAGATGATCACAAAAGACCAACTAATCACATTAAGCGCTTGTATACGAGGCAACAATGGCAATCCTCATTGGTTCTCAGTAACAATGACTTGTAACATAATGCATCTTAAACATGTCATGACTATAACTGCATTAATTAAGAGATAAACTTTTAGGAATGTTTATTATGTATATTAATCACGATATGAACCGTACAGTTTCAACTACATAGAGAATTAATTACAATTAATAGGCTAATATCTGGTGCAGGACTGTGAGACGACAGCGTTCTCTGAGTCAAAATGGTGATTTAATCAGAAACAGAATCAGAATTACTTTAGTAATCCCTTGCGGGTAATTCTTTCTTGCAGTACACCCGTTTACAGAAGAGAGAAAAATAAGATTGTAAGTACAAAAGAGCAAGATACAATATAATGTAATAAGACTTAAATAAAAAAGTAAAATTATAACCCAATACAGTAAAATTACTCCCCTCCCCTATAAACAGTGTTTTACAACCCTTCCCTTTTAAACAGATAAAATAAGATATCAGAATAAGATAAGATAAGGTCTCAGTACATATAATCACCAGTATTTGCAATGCTGCTCAGTACCCTATGTAAATATAACCATGTTGTATATCCTGCATTGTTTACAAGGACTCACTTAGAGACAATATAACCTTACACGTTCAAAAATCATGCAGATATCTTCTGGAATTCCTAAACAAGAAAACTATAACTCAAACTTTTTTTTTTCTGAGATGATATCTTTTTAGTATCAACTACTGTCATTTCAGCTGTTGCGAGTAAATTGTATGTCACAAATTAGTGACAGCTGGCACACAGCAAAGACTCCATCCCCTCTTGTTTTTACAGCATGAAGATGTGGAGCGACTTTTAATGTCTCTCATATGAGTTTGGTAGAGGCACAAGCCAACCGTTAAGATACATACAGTTACACCTAATGTCATCTAAGAAGAAGGCTTTGGTGTGTTCTGTCTTTTCAACTCTCACAAAGATCATCTTTGATGCATCACTTGGATTTATATATGTGAACAGTGGGTCAGGTTTGATGCTATACATGTGGACCACAGTGATTGGAACAGCCCGGCACAAACAGCCTGATGTACAAAGACACTTCTCTTTGAACATGCACACGAACTGTATTTCTCCATAGTTGCCATTCTTAAGTGCAATGACGCAATCTTTTCTGTAAACAGTGTTTCCTACTGTGAAACTGTCAAAAACTTCCACTGACTTGACGAGAGCTGGTCGATGTAAGAGTTCTTCTATCGCCAGTCTGACTACGCCTGTAATTTCCAGAGACTCCGAATGTCCAAGCTGTGAGTAAGATTCCTCCTCATCACTTCCTCCTGATAGCTTGGTCAACACCTCTCCAAATTTTACAGAGTGGCTAAAAACCGAAGACTTAAGGTGACTGGGTATTTGCCGCCAAAAAAGAAACCTCTGGAAAATGTGTCTATGATTGTAATTGATGTTTGTTAAAAGCTTCCGTAATTTCCCACTGTTTTTCTCAAAAGAAAAGGCTGATGTTACCCACAGAGGCCCCCAGTTTTGTACACTTTCAGCTAGGTGAATTAACTGATGACAGTTGAAAGACACATTTTCTTCACCATAAAGCTCCTTCATTTTTACCACAAACTGTACTAAGTAATGATGGGCCAATTTAAGGTCACACTGAGATACTGATTCTTGGAGAAGAATGTGAATGCCAAATGACAAAAAGAAATAGTGTGTCAGAAATGGAGGGTGGAGAACACCTGGCAGGACACTGACAGCATAAAATAAGAGGAAAGCTCTCCACTGTGATGCTTTCCAATTGTTCCAATTTTTCAGTGAATGTGGACGTTGGATTGTTTCTGCTGGCGGCTTTTGACGGAGCAGACATGAATCCATTTGGTCAATGTGTTGACCAACATACCAGGCTTTGCTAGAATTTTTTGGGTCCAGCCATAGAGACATGAGTTGTCTGGACACACCAAGCAGAACGGAGTGCATGTATTCTGGCACAAATCCCAAAACAATGTCAAAGACTGGAAGACCAGACAGTGAGGACCTCCCTTTCACGCCATTCTCTGGCAAGTTATTGTCTTCTGCTTCTTTTCCGTTATCCTCAAACATTATCTTTGACCTTTTAACTTGTTCAACTTCATCGTATGGGTATGACCTTACAGAGCCGGATCCCTTTCTCGTCACTTTGCCTGGGTGTAGACACCAGTCACAGCCATACTCTCCATTGAATTGTTTGCAATTCCGGAGAAGTGGCCTTGCAACGGCATCAGACGAGCAAACCAATGAGAAGACTTTTGAAGAGTGAGCTGCACCACTGCTGTCATTCCACTGAAAGGGATTCTGGGCAAGATCACAGCATTCATCTATGAAAGGCTTTAAAAATGTGTCCATTTTTGGATTTTTTGGGCCAAACCAAAGTCCTGCCACTATCAGATTTTCTTGTCTCAGTGCATAAGGAAGTTCATTAATCATAAATTGAAGGGGCCAAACTGAGAACCTAGGTTCGAAAATGGGTACACCATCACAGTTCCATGTCAGTGTAAGGTCATCCTTTCCCAGTGTGCCTTGCTTAAGCAGATTCTGGTACATCAGCCCATCCAGAACATCTGTAAAGTCATGGTCATGTTTAGCTACTTTGGGTAATAGCTTTGTGCCATAGTTGTTAAGAATGTCTTTAAGAAGATCTTTGAGAGAGGCATACAAAAAGAAGTTTCCATTTTTAAAACTGCTAGCTTTATCAAATGTCTTTTTACAGTCTGAACAACATGTTGGATTTTTTCCTAAGTAGTTTTGACATTGGTCACAGTAGAATACAGTAGAGACAGAATGGACTGCTTGAAAAAGATGCCGAGTTTCAACTATTAGGCCTGGGATAAGGAAGTTTAGTAGAGCCATGAGACTGCCTTGTACTGCTGCAGGGAGCTGGTGATGCAGTATGAAGAGCATTGCAGCAAGAAGCCCTTTCCCTCTACTCACTGTCCCACCGGGGTAAATTGGCTCCTTAGACTTAATAGAAAATATATATTTCAATATTAATAATATTTTTTTAGGTTGAATTTGTGTCAGGAAGTAATTTCTTTACCATTGCTTTGCCATCATCTGTATCATATCGTGACGTAGACTCCAAATTCCACAGAAACAGAGATGAGTCCTGCATATAAGAATATGTCATATAATTTATCCAGGTATGTTGTTGTAATTAAAACTTTGCATAATTTGAGTCAATTTACAGGTCTTGATAGAAATAATGGATTCCTGATGATTATACAAGCAATTTGAGTACTTCGTCTTTAAAATGATTCCGAGATCTTTGTACCAACCATTTCTTGGTTTTCCTCTTGGTCTGAGCTTGTGTCTATCCTTTCAGGAGTGTCATCATTTGTTTTCAATGTCTGCAGTGAAAATATATAGATTTAAAACTTACTGTAACAGTATAGACTATAACAGGGTTGAATTACTGAGAATTCCCTATGAATGTGTCTGTGTTCTATAAAGTAATAAGACATCAACATTCTTTACTGTTACCTTTGGGTTTCGTCAATATTTCTCTTGCGTCTAAACTTGATAGGACACTATAATTTGTTCAAGGCTTGTTGTATAGCTTCAAATTGACATGCAAACTAATGTTTAGCAAAACAAATAACAACAATCTTTTTCAAATCTTTTTCATGCTTCATAAACATCAAAGATGACTGACTTCTGGATCTGATACATAAAAATAATGATTATTATTGAGAGGAACCAGTTGAGGTGGCTTCGGCATCTGATTAGGATGCCTTCCAGTCGCCTCCCTGGTGAGGTGTTCTGGATATAAGACCTTTGTCTTATAGTAAATATTTTGGTTTTCTGGTCAGATTCGCTCAGCATTCATCCTGATGAAACTGCTTGGTTTGTAGTTTGTTGTGCAAATTTTTTTCTTTCTTTTCCTGAATTTGAAGTTTGGTTTATTGTCTGGCCACCTCAAAGTTTACAGTCACTGAAGTATAAGCATATTAATCTTACTAGAGCACACTTGTCTTATTCATCATTATCTTTTGACAACACCTCAGTCTTAATCAAATTTAAACATTACCTGTAAATACTCTTTGAGTCTCTTTCGAAATTTAAC